CTGTAAATTTTGTTTTGAAAGGTGGAATAATTCCCAGGTCAGTAAATTCTACTTTGTTGGTTTTGATCCCAAGGAAAGACTATCCTGTCAACTTTGGTGATTGTAGGCCTACTAGTCTTTGCAATTTTGTTTACAAGATTTTTACAAAGCTGGTCACTACTAGACTCTCCTCTTTTTTGCCTATGCTGATCTTTGAGGAGCACCATGGTTTTGTAAAAAGAAGGTGTATTGGTGACTGTGTTTCCTTGGGACAGTTAATGGTTTAGGAGTTGGATAGGAAGATGGAGGGGGGGAATATGGTTGTGAAATTGGACATGATGAAGGCGTATGACAGGATAAAATGGGACTTTTTCCTGAAGGTTTTGATGAAATTTGGTTTTTCAGATTTGTTTGTTAGAATCATTTCTAGTTGTCTGAAAACTCAATTCTTCACTATATGTTTGAATGGGAAAAGATTTGGGTATTTTGCTAATTCAAGGGGTCTTAGACAAGGAGATCCCTTGTCTCCTTCTTTGTTCATTCTTGCTGAAGAGGCATTGAGTAAGGGGTTGAGGAAGCTTTATCAGCAAAAGTTGGTGACTCATTTTCACATAGGAAGAGGTTCTTTTCTTCTGAGTCATCTTTTATTTGCTGATGACACTCTAATTTTTTTAAGGGGAACTAAGAAATCTGCTACTAATTTGATGAATTTTATTGGTTTATATGAAGAATGCTCTGGCCAAAAGGTAAATAAATCGAAGAGTGCCTTATTTTGTTCTGCAAGAATTCCTACTACCAGAAAGGTTTTATTGTCTTCGATGGTGGGCATTCTCTTGAAATCATGCCCCTTTACTTATCAGGGCTGCCCTATTATTAGGGGAAGGTCTAGGAACTGTTTCTTTGAAGAGGTGGTTAATGGCTTCAGAAGGAGGATTGAAGGTTGGTATGCCAAGCTTTTGTCAGGTATGGGTAGGCTTGTTTTGGTACAATCTGTTCTTAATACCATTCCTATACATATGCTGGCTTGCATGAAAATCCCAAAAGGTGTTTTGAAGAGATTAAATTCTATGATAGTTGAGTTTATATGTTGAGTTAGTTAGATTCTAAAAGGAGGCATTGGGTTTCTTTGGAAAGGTTGTCTAAGCCAAAGAAGGAGGGTGGTTTGGGTATTAGAAGCTTTGAGGAAATTCAGGCAGCTTTTAGAATCAAGCAGGTCTGGAACATCTTAAATGGTACTTCATCGTGGGCAAAAGTGTTCAGCTGTAAATTTTTAAGGGGCAAACACATGCTTAGATGTGGGCAGTCTAGGGGTGCAAGATCCTTTAAGATTTTAAAACCCTGGTTTGATTATGTGGTGGACAATTACTTAGTATGCATTGGAGATGGTAGGAATACTGATTTTTGGTGTGATTCCTGGTTAGAATCAGGTCCCTTATTGAATAGAGCTGTGGCCTTGCCTACTGTGTTTCCTAAGGTTGCTGAGATGTGGGAAAATGATCATTGGCAGTTGGAGGAGGTTGCTCGCCTGGGGATCAGCTGAGTTCTGAAATTTTGTCGTCTGGTGAGTTGTTTACTGAGAAAGCTGATAGAAGGATATGGAGGAATAGTAGTTCTGGCTTATTTTCTGTAAAATCTGCTTGGTCTCAGGTTAGGCAGCAGGGGATTCAGTGTGTGGCTGCTAAATATATTTGGAGGCAAGAGGTTTCTCCAAGTGCAAAATTATGTGGTTGGAAAATTCTCAAAGATGCTTTGCCCACAGAGTTGAGGGTTTGTAGTATTGGAATTGCCTTAGTAAGCAAATGTATTCTCTGCTGTGAAAAAGAGGAATCCGGTTCTCATTTGTTCATTGAGCGTAATATTACAAAGGCCATATGGAGCAAGTTTGCTGGTATGATGGGGTTTCCTTTAATACAGGGAGAGTCACCCCCCATAGTCAGGTTTTTGAGAATTTGCAGAATTTTTAACTTTCATTCCCTGAGTCATGGTTTAATTAGAGGGGTTCCGCTGTTGTTATTCTGAGTTGTACGGAGAGAAAGGTGCATGAGGATGTTTGAGGAGGGGAATTTGAATTCATATGGGGTGTATTTGTAGGTTGTGAATGCCCTTCGAATGCAGGCTTTTGTTATAAAACCTCAGAGGGCAGATGACTGTAAAGGGAAAGAATTGTTAGTTGATTTAAGGATCAGTTCAGCTTATGTTGTGATGACTAAGGCCATGTGGATTAAGTAGGATCCCCCTCCTGCTGGTGCACTGAAATTGAATGTGGATGGCACAGCTAAATGTTCATCTGGACTTTCTGGGGGTGGAATGGTTATTAGAGATTCGAAAGGTCATGTGCTGATAACTGCTTCTTCATTTTATGATAGAGGCACTAATATGCAAGCTGAATGCATGGCATTACTGGAGGGGTTGAAACTGATTTTTAGATATAATTGGGAGAGGTATCAGATTTACATTGAATCTCACTCTCAGATCTTAGTGCAGATGGTTTTGGGGAAGGTTGCTGTACCTTGGAGGTGTCAGTACATTTTAGATCAGATTTGGGATTGTTTCAATAAGCTGAATGCCATAATTTGTCATGTATATAAAGAGGCTAATACTCTTGCAGATTTCTTAGCATCTTATGCTGTCCAGATAGCAAGTTGTGTTGAATTTTCTGCCTGTGGCTGGGAGAATGGTGCTCTTCCAAGATCAGAGATCATTGCCTACTCTGAGAAAGAAAACTGTGATGTTCAAGACTGGTTTGGTTTCTGATGATGGTGGTTAATTTTTTCTAAAATCAGCTGTTGTGCTGACTGTGCTGATGAGTCATTAGGAGGAGGTAGGCAGCTGTGCTGTGTGTTTTTCTGGTCAGCTTCTACTGTGTTGAGTGTACTGCTGGACTGTATTTTTTATGGTGAGATATGGAAAGATATAAGGCGCTGCCATGCTTGCTGGTTTACTTGGGTTTTGAGAGATTGTATTTTTCTTGATTTACAAATATAAAGTAGTTTTGTTGTCTTGAAGGATCAGAGCCAACATGTGGCTTATTCTTTTTACTTCTTGTAAAACCTTTTGGTTAAATCAATAAATTTCTCTTTTATTAAAAAAAAAAAAANGGAATTGCCTTAGTAAGCAAATGTATTCTCTGCTGTGAAAAAGAGGAATCCGGTTCTCATTTGTTCATTGAGCGTAATATTACAAAGGCCATATGGAGCAAGTTTGCTGGTATGATGGGGTTTCCTTTAATACAGGGAGAGTCACCCCCCATAGTCAGGTTTTTGAGAATTTGCAGAATTTTTAACTTTCATTCCCTGAGTCATGGTTTAATTAGAGGGGTTCCGCTGTTGTTATTCTGAGTTGTACGGAGAGAAAGGTGCATGAGGATGTTTGAGGAGGGGAATTTGAATTCATATGGGGTGTATTTGTAGGTTGTGAATGCCCTTCGAATGCAGGCTTTTGTTATAAAACCTCAGAGGGCAGATGACTGTAAAGGGAAAGAATTGTTAGTTGATTTAAGGATCAGTTCAGCTTATGTTGTGATGACTAAGGCCATGTGGATTAAGTAGGATCCCCCTCCTGCTGGTGCACTGAAATTGAATGTGGATGGCACAGCTAAATGTTCATCTGGACTTTCTGGGGGTGGAATGGTTATTAGAGATTCGAAAGGTCATGTGCTGATAACTGCTTCTTCATTTTATGATAGAGGCACTAATATGCAAGCTGAATGCATGGCATTACTGGAGGGGTTGAAACTGATTTTTAGATATAATTGGGAGAGGTATCAGATTTACATTGAATCTCACTCTCAGATCTTAGTGCAGATGGTTTTGGGGAAGGTTGCTGTACCTTGGAGGTGTCAGTACATTTTAGATCAGATTTGGGATTGTTTCAATAAGCTGAATGCCATAATTTGTCATGTATATAAAGAGGCTAATACTCTTGCAGATTTCTTAGCATCTTATGCTGTCCAGATAGCAAGTTGTGTTGAATTTTCTGCCTGTGGCTGGGAGAATGGTGCTCTTCCAAGATCAGAGATCATTGCCTACTCTGAGAAAGAAAACTGTGATGTTCAAGACTGGTTTGGTTTCTGATGATGGTGGTTAATTTTTTCTAAAATCAGCTGTTGTGCTGACTGTGCTGATGAGTCATTAGGAGGAGGTAGGCAGCTGTGCTGTGTGTTTTTCTGGTCAGCTTCTACTGTGTTGAGTGTACTGCTGGACTGTATTTTTTATGGTGAGATATGGAAAGATATAAGGCGCTGCCATGCTTGCTGGTTTACTTGGGTTTTGAGAGATTGTATTTTTCTTGATTTACAAATATAAAGTAGTTTTGTTGTCTTGAAGGATCAGAGCCAACATGTGGCTTATTCTTTTTACTTCTTGTAAAACCTTTTGGTTAAATCAATAAATTTCTCTTTTATTAAAAAAAAAAAAAGAACTGACCTTCAAATTTTCCAAAATATTAACCCAATTCCTTGACACATTCCTTCCCCCTCCTTCCTTTTCGGCCACCAAATCCCCTCAAAACCCTTTTCCTAGAGAACACTCCCCAACATACACCCACCCACCCAACTCTCTCTCTCTCTCTCTCCACCAACAAAACCCAAAACACAGACACAAGATTCCATTCATCCCTAGTTTCCACCATCACCATTGCATTGGTGACGCTGCTACTGATTCAGAATGGAGATTGTCCAAAGGCGTCTCATGTTTGAAGACATGTAGTGGGTTTTGAGACGAGTGATATCAATCTGAAATTGACAATGACAAAGGGGCAATGGAGGTTATATGGCGGCAAGGGACAATTTGTGTTTTGTGTGGTCGTGCTTCTTTGTTTCAAAATATGTGCGTGTTGGGGGTAGTTATCTGGTGATGGATCAGAGGTGGAGAGGTGGTGATCTTTCGGGTCACTGCAGCCAGCAGCCACCAGCCAGCAGCCACCAGCCAGCAGCATCCTTAAACAATCAGTGCCTAGCAGATTTCTGGAGTAGGTAAAACTTGTTATCTAAAAGTCAAAAGAGTCTTAACACCTGAATGAGCAAGGATATCAAGTAACAGTCTAATTTATCACTCTTAAAAAGCTTCTTTGTATTTACCTGTAATAATTAAATACGGCAAAACATTTGATCCACCAATATTTAAATATCTTTCACGAGAGCCACAGCCTTACCCTCTGACAAAAATTGTTCACAGCCATACAGAGAAAGGGTCAAGGTGCATTCCAAGAAGCCCATGTTTCTTGATCATATAAAAGCAGAAAGATGAGTATCCTTTTCCCTCTGTATAGTTAACGACCACTGAACCCAGAAATTTGCTTCCTCAAGGCTCGATCTTTCCTGTGATGATTGCTTGCCCCACCCCTTCTTCCTCTACCCCTTGTAGCTCCTGGATTACCTCGCCCTCCCATCTCATTAACATCAGCCTCCTCGTCCTGTTCCTCATTTGTCTCGGTCAGCCTTTTAATTGCACCTAAAGGCAGATTACCACCACGCCCAAGGCCATGGATCAGTTCTTTCTGGGCTTCATTCACTAATGATGCTTCATTATAATTTGCCACAGCGACTGAGCCCTCAACTTTGTAACTGTAGTTCTTGCCATCCTTGACATAGAATTGGGGTGTTTTACGTGAGTTCCATTTTGAATTAGAAGCATTAGGAGCTGGGCTTCCTGTATATGTCTCACGTGATCTCTCCCTATTCAAGTTTAGCTTCTCCCCCAGTGACTCAGTTTCCTCCAGTCCTGAATCACCAACACTAAGTCCTAAATCATCAAAAGAGTCGTCATACTCATCTTCATACTCGAGTTGAGAAATAAGAAAAGCAGTCTTTGCCAAATTCTTTTCATCTCTACAATCAAGAGTCTCAGAATCAGGCATGTCGGTCGAAGCCTTCCTGACATATCTCCCAGCTGAAGATGAGGATGAAAATGAAGGTCCTTCAGCTTGTTCCTCTCCTGCTAAAGGAACCATTATTGTAGAGGGCACCGTTGTAGGCTCCATTAATTTCCCTTTCCCCTTATCATACCTACTCAAAGATGAAGCAGTCTTGGGCGGTGGAATCTTCTCCAATGAAGTGTCCAAGGTCTGTAGATCTTCATGGAGGGTTCCCTCAAGGATCCTTTGTATCACCTCTTCTGGATTCTGGTTATAAATTTCAAGACAAGCAGTCAAGAAACCTTTTCCATGATCAGGGAAAATGTCTTTTATTTGACTGATTTTTGATTCAACAATTGCACTGTCCTCATCCATCTGCAGTCTGTCACTTGTTGCAGACATTGGCGTATAAGGTAGTTCCTTGACTTTGCCTGCCAAAGGATGAATCATGATTCCAGATAGAAACTGGAATTGTTCATCATCCATTACAATCCACCCTACGTGAAAGCAAACAAGTGAAGTTAGACATCAATTGCTTAAAGATCCATACTAGAAGATGGCTTCTGAATGCATACAAGCAGAACAATGAGGAAGAACAAGCACATGACATATATGGGTATACCATTTTTGCAATGGAGGGAATTATCTCCTAATACAAAGTAGCTTCTCACAATCAAAGTTATCTAAACAATGATTTCTCTTGAGAGCAAATCATGAACAATTTTTACCCCAGCACATAGTGTGTGCTTTGCACATGTCAACAAATGCCAACAAAGTCATACAATGAAAATAGCATTGTGCTATGTCATGTCAAGAAGGCTCCAAATATCAAATAGCAGCAAAACCAGAAGGATCAACCATTTTCCCAATGTGCAAGACATATTCAAATCTTTATGGGGGACTTGAAACCAGGTCTTTCACTAACATCATTGATGCTTTGCAATTAGGGTAGATGCCATCTGGTGGTGCACCCACTTTGGGTAGCCGAGCACCAAGGAAAAATGTTGCTAATAAAAATAAAAAAGAAGAGAGAAACGAAAGAAAGGAAAGCACAAATAAATAAGACACATAAAAAAGGAAATAATGGACAAGAAGAAAGAAAAAAAAAAGATATACTGAGCACAACATAACCCGAGACTAGATGCCATCTGGTGGTGCACCAACTTTGGGTAGCCGAGCACCAAGGAAAAATGTTTCTAATAAAAATAAAAAGAAGAGAGAAACGAAAGAAAGGAAAGCACAAATGAATAAGACACATAAAAAAGGAAATAATGGACAAGAAGAAAGAAAAAAAAAAGATATACAGAGCACAACATAACCCGAGACTCGTGGTGCAGAGGAAAGAGGTTAAACACCCTATCCAGGCAGGACACTAAACAACAAAAGGATCGATAGAAAGTTGTGGAAGCCAAAACTAACCAACACTTATCCCTAAATTTCTACATGCATTGATAAAATATCTACGGAAACAGTCACTAGTACAGAGATAATAAACAAGACATTACATTTTAGGGTTAATTACAATTTACCCCCTTTAACTTTGGGTGTTGTTACAATTAACTCCCTTAGAATTCAATTTCGACAATACAATTAACTCCCTTAGGGTTCAATTTCGACAAATTGCCCCTATTCATCTTGAAAATTTTGCAATTAGATTTCTCAGTCAATTTCAGCTGTAAAAAGTGCTGGATATTAGCCACATGACATATATGCAATCACCAAGTTGCAGAAAAGACAAAAGTAGCCCTTCTCATGTTTTTCCCCATCTCCTTGTCTTCCTCCCCTTCCCCACTGCCCAACCCTAATTCCTCATCCTCCTCTCTCCAGCGAAAATGAAACCCGAGACTCTCTCTCATGATAAACATCCCCAGTGAAACCCCTTGTTCATAGATCTCTCCCCCTCTATCTATCTATGTATTTAAATAGTGAAATCATCTCTGTGAAACCCTCGACATAAACATTTTGGACCAATAACCAACCCTCCACCCCAATGACCCTCTATGAACAAACCCTCTCGTCTCTCCAACATCAGCCACAACCAAATACACCCATTTTTGTCACCCTCTATTCAGTTCTTCTCCTTCTACTTTGATTCTCTCCCTTTAGATTCTTTTCCCTTTGCATCAGGATTGAACCGATTAGAGTTCAAGGCAAGTGATAAGTTGATATATATAGAAACACACACAGAATGTGGCTTGGGTGTGTTGGTTTGGGTGGTTGCAGGTGGAAGTGGTGTTGGGTTGGGTTGTATGTGTGTGTGTTGGGTTGTGTTTGTTGTGTGATTGTTGAGGTGACAGTGAAGATGGAGATGTTTTTGTGCTAGGTTTGGGATTGCTAGTGTAAGTGAAGGTGCTGAGGGGTGGTGTATGGTGGTGGTTTGTTTAAGCTATAGTAGGTGATGTTGATGGCTAATTTTGGGTGGTGTTGGGTGGTTTTGTATTTTTATTGCTTTGAGGATACAATTTTTTTATTTATAATTTTAATTTGTTAAGGTATATTAGGCATTTTCAAAGATAATTTGCACAATAATATTGAAGGTTGAGGGTATGGTTGTTAGTCATTTTAGTCCATTTGAAACTTTGAGGGGCCAATTTTTCAAAATTGAAACTATGAGTTAATTACAATAGCACCTAAGTTGAATGGGCAATTTGTAATTAACCCTACATTTTATAAAGGAAACAAAACGAAGTCCAAAGAAAATCGGCATACAGATTTCATCAAAATGAACCTCCAAACTCCTTCGCTCTCAAGAATAATATGTATGAAGAAGGCTGTCAAATTATACCAATGGTGCTAATTTGCTAGAATCTCAAATTTACTTCATTCTTGATTTGAACAATGACAAGATCTCCAAGGAAATCTACACATCTAAGGCATTGCGTTGTCGTCTCACACCATGTTAAGAACCTAGAGCCTCACGTAGGCGAGTCCATAATCAAAACTGACATTGTAATAGATTATTATGCCTTATACAAGCTAACATGGTCTACTAAGCCCATCCTAGTAATCACACATGCATGTGATGGCAAAGCACCATCGTGGATTAGAAGTTTTAATATTTTTTTAGTGGCACAAACCCACATGAAAATAAAACAAAATTTTTTTTAGCTACATCAACTTGACATAAAACTCAATTCAACTTAACTAAACCTTATCCCAACATTTTTGGGATCGGCTAATGAAATCATGTTTCGTTATTATCATCAACTTGACATCTAATCTCCCCCTCTCTTTCTCTCAACAAACAATTTAGAGGTGAGAAGCCTTCCCTCCCTATTTCCTAAATACTCAAAATTTAGAAATTTTTAATTCAAAACCTAAGGCTCCCTTCAATCAGTCATTACCTTGTGTCATTTGTAACCACCCCTTAACTCCCTAATAACCAAACTACGATTTTTTCAAATTTACTCAAAAAAAAATATTTTTTAATGCCTAAAAACTTGCTATAATTGTTTATCTAACTTATCAAGTGATAACATGAAACACAAAAAGGAAAACTAAAAAAAAAAGAAAAAGAGACTTGAATTATAATTTCGTACATGGCATGGGTGGGCCGCTAGTATACAAAAGTATTGGAATCATACACATAGATCGTAAGATTTCACCATGTACTTTGGCATCCCATGTCTCTACATAGCCTATCAATTAGCAAGGATTGAAATTTCGTTTCGAAATACCGTTTCGGTTAGTTAAAAAACGGAAACGTTTTGAAAACGCAATGAAAATGCAAAAAAAATATGGAAACACGTGAAAACGCAAATACAATTTATTTATTTATAAAGATAAGCTAAATAATTGATTAATTCAACATATTTATTGGGTTAATATCTATTTATACAAGAATAAATTTAAATTGAAAGGAAAAAAAGCTTGACATAAGGCAAAAATCACTTAAATTAGTTTCAGTGGGAAATTAAATATAATTACAATGGATATTAAATATAATTACAGTGGATATTAAATATAATTACAGTGGAGTATTAAATATAATTATAGTGGGGTATTAAGTATAATTATTCATACTTATAAAAATAAATAAAAGGCAGAAGACCTGCACAGTAGTGGAAAATTAAATACAATTATAGTAGGGTATTAAATGTAATTACAGTGTGTATTAAATGAAATTACAATGGGTATTAAATATAATTATAATAAAGTATTAAATATAATTACAGTGAGGTATTAAATGTAATTATTCATACTTATAAAAAAAAAATATAAAAGGCAAAACTTGCACAGTTCAACCATGAACGAACACACAGACAGAGACGAACGAACAGATAGATAGAGAGAAGATAGAGAGGCAAAAGGCGTAGGCAATCGCGATGGGCGATGTCGGTGCTAGAGATAGAGAGAGAGGAGATGAACACACCGGTGGTAGCTCGTGGTCGCAGAGATGAAGACCGGACAACTCCCAAACCCTAGATCTACTTGGATAATGGCTGGATCTGCTCAAATTTGGAGTGAGGAAGTAAGTTACAGTAACTTCTCCTTCAATTTTTGGTCTATAGTTCTCTCTGTCTGGTGTCTTTCTCTCCCCCTTCTCTTTATTTTATTTTTTTTGCTTGAAAGACTTGAGATCTAAGATATCTGTTTTTTCCCCTTTTTTTTTTGGTTTGGAATTGTGAATTCTGATTTGTGAAATTTGCTTTTTTGAGCCTCTCTCTTTTTTTTTAGCCTCTCTTTTTTTTTTTTTAGCCTGGAATGAACCGAATCTATCTACTATTTCGTCGAAACAGTTCAAAATAGTGCCGTTTCGACCAAAATACCGAAATTTTGAGATTCAACTACTGTTTCGTGTCACAGTGTTGAAATTTCGAAATGTTTTGGACGTTTCGACACAACATTTTGATCCTTGTCCATTAGTAATATTTTGGCGCAAAAAAGGGAAGGGGTAAACTACCATGGTAGAAGTGCTTTCAAAATTTTATCACCTCCAATTCATGCAAGATATTAAACTCAACTTAACAAAGCCTTGTCCCAATATTTTTAGGGTTGACCACACGAATCATGTTTTGCCAATATAATCTATTAAGGGCTATATTTTATGTTAAACTATAAGATAGCATATCTTTCTTTACTATTTCGTGTAAAGTTAATTTTAGTCTTTTTCTACACCTGCGCTTACTGTCAATTATTATGATATCACTCTTTCTCATCGGTGTCCTAGTAGGTCGTCTATAACGACACCAAGATATTGTAAATGTAAACCCTAACAATCACCATGAGTCTACAATTAAATAAATCTATTCAAATAAGATCCACACCAAGATATTAAACTCAACTCAACAAAGCCTTGCCCCAATATTTTTGGAGTCGGTGTCCAAAAATATTTTGCCAATGTACTCTATTAAGGGCTATGCTTTCTGTTAAACTACAAAATATCATATATTTCTTTACTATTTCATGTAAAGTTAATTTTAGTATTTCTCTACTCCTACGCTTATATCATATCACTCTTTCTCATCGGTGTCCTAGTAGGCCGTCTACAACCACACCAAGATATTGTAAATGTAAAACTAATAATCAGCACGAGTCTACAGTTAAACAAATCTATTCAAATAAAAGTCATTCTGGCTTTGTACATACAAGAATTGTTACCTGTAGTTTGCAATAACTCAATTCTGCTCATCATCTTGTGGTTTTTTTCAATATGTTGGAGAAATGTTCTCCTGCTCTGCCCCTCCTGGAAATGTGAATATAATCCACTGATTTCCCTAAAAATCTGAACCAAAATATCTGCTCTTATGACAGGGTCCTCCACTTTGGCTGGAAATATCTTTGTTGCAGCAGGAAGAATGAAGCTCTCTTCAAAAACTTCATCACTTAGATAGCAAAAGTAAAGTAATTTCCAACCAAATTTTACTATTCTTGTGGATAACATCTTCAGACTGATGCCCACATTTGAGAGCATGTTATCCTGATGTCCACCATCACCTGCTGTAAATATAACTTGGAATCCCTGCTGTAAAGATGGCAGCAATGAATCATGCAATTTTGCAAGGATACTCAGCATTTCCTCATTACTGTAACTGCATTACACAGAAGACTAGTGTGAGATAGTGTCATACAAACCTTCGGCGTCAACCCATCACATACATTCTCTTTGTCATTCACAAAAGAACTAGCAACTCGAAAATGCTTCCCTCAAGTGTTGACTAGAAAAATTCATTATATGGGAACACTCCAACAAGAAACCTAAATTGGAAAGCATCGTCGATTCTTACAGTGGAGGCAGACCTCTCTCTTCCACTCAAATTTGAGAATGTCAAATTTCTAGCAGTATACTTGGTACCTTATTTCAACAGGGCAGGTGAAGAAGATAGCTGCATGTTTGTATGCACTAACAAAAGTATCCATGGATACAATTGCATCATTTATGAAGTCCATCACCTATGGAAGAAAAATAAAAGAGTTATTAAATACAACAATACCGAATATGCAGCTACCACTATGCCTCGTAAAACAGGGGGAAAAACACAAAGCCTGTTCTTGTTGCACTAGAGATAAATTCCTGACAAATTATTGTTGTCATCTAAGAAGCATCTCTCCACATCATTGCAATGAAAACTTGATTTACAACAATTTTGAAATAAATGAGGTGAATTGTATGTTATCTTGACTTTTGTTATCTTAAAAACTACGCGGGAATGGTGGAACCATTCAATGCTCCCATCCGGAAAAACTGGGTGATGTTACCATTTAGAAGCATTACCATCATACATTTTTCTGTGAACATTCTGTTACAGCTTGCAAAGAAAATGCAGGAACCATATAAAAAGTACGCATTACCTATTTTGCATGCCAAAAGAAAGAAAAAAAAGTGAGTCACCTCTAAATAATCCGCATGAAGCCGACTGGATCCATGTTCTTGAGAGTCACGCGAGGAAAATAGAACCTGTACAGAGACAAAGAAAAGGAATTTTTTTTCTGGCATAAATATAAAAGCAAGGTATGTATCTTTCAATCATAATCTATGAAGCATAGATATGGATATGGATACGGATACAAGTACAATACAGATACAATAAAGTAAGATACGAATACCACCAGGATACGTTCATAATAAAATATATTTCATATTTTTACTATTATCTACTGACTTAATAATTATATGTTTTGGTAATTATTTAACATAATAAGAAAAATTAGCAACTATTTTAGTTTAAATAAGTATGTCATACTAGAAAGCATGGATACGTATAGGGGATACAGGTACGGTAAGATATGATTCGGATACAGCTAGAATACGTCATATATATATATATATATATATATATATATAGGACTGATTAATGGTGTTACTGATATAAGACTTCATAATGGTGTTTTAAATTAAATATTCTATATAATTCTAAAGTTGAAGACGTAAGTAGTATGAATTTTTGTTAATGTATTAAATGGTATGTGAATTCAAAAAGAAATGTTAATGATTAAATTCAAAAATTATACATGTTTCTCGAATACAAAAGTATTTGAGAAGTATCCAAATATTTTATTATTATTAGATATGTAGGAGATGCATCCGATACGGATACAACCACCTCAACGAAGTATCTGTGTCTGATAGGTAGTAATGTACCCATCCGAAGAAGGGAAACAATAAGAACTCGCACCTGCACTCAATTTCTCCCACTCTGTCTCACACCACACTATACCCGGTTTCATATACAAATATGGTTTAAAATCGCGGTATTAGTCATCAATTCGAAGGGTACTGATCCACATTAGAAGCTCCAAAAAAATTTAAAAAAATCATAAAAAATATATACATCATCATCCATGTATCATATGCTCACAATAAATCCAAAAACACATTAAACATAATTAAAATGAAACATAACGACGTTACCAAAAATATTAATCATTATCAATATTCAACTTATTGAAATTGAAATATTGATATATCTAATTATTACATTAGATTTAAAAAGTACCGATGTTTTTTAGGATTGAAAAATATTGATATTTTTTATTTTAAAAAAATATTAATGTACCTAATCATTACATTAACTATTTTAAATTTTTAATGATTTATCAAAGAATAAATTTACTCGAAATAAACTTTGACAAAAAATAAACCCAAAAATCAATTACCCATAAAATAAATTAACCACACTAAAATAAATTAAGAAAATAAAAAAATAATTAAGTCTACATTGTTCACTTGTTGGGAGGGACTTAGGGGACCGATAACACGGAGTCTTTAAAAGACTTTGTTTGAGACTTTGTGTCCTTTAGACGTTGTGTATCAAGAGAGAGAGAGAGAGAGAGATGGAAGAATTTGAGAGTGGATTTGAAGAACCCACCGACGATCACTAGAAGACAACTAGGGCTGGAACTGTTAGGTTGGTCTTCTACAATTCTACTTCTCTATCTATTTGACTGGTTCGTAGCAAAGAAGATCAGGAAAAAATAGAAAAAAAGAAGATGAAGCGGTATGAAGATCTCTCTGATCTGTATTCAATTCAACAAGTATGTCATACAAATGCTTACAATCTTTGTGGCAGTGGGTCTTTGATTTTCGGACTGGTTGAGAGCTTTTAACCTTTTACAGATGTGGGTCATGAAGTTCTTTATCTTTTTCCTTTTTATTTTGGATTCTTGTTATTTGTTCAAAATTTTGAAAATTTTTCACAAGATTCAATCATACCGAACTGATTCTGCTATAAATTGTCCAATTCATATTATGTTGCTTTGATTTGTGCCGATACGTTCGAGTCTGACTAAGATATCGCTGAGTCAAGTGAAAATCAGAATTTTTGCATAACGGCATCGATATCGGATCGGTAGGGGCCGAGTCGTATCGGACTAGGCCAATACTTTGAACCATATACACAAACACCCACACTCACACATTTGATAATATACCCTGCGCCTATTTTAGAGCGCTCTGTTTTTTAAACGACCCATCACTATTGTTTTGGAACTCTCTGTTTTTTAAACAACTCATCCCTGTTAAATATTTATTTTTAAATTTCATTTTATTGAATTTTTATGTTACAATCAACAAAAAAAAGTAATAGGTAAAAAATATGTTATGTTTTGATTGTTGTGTGTTACTGCTGCCATGGTTATCAAAATCCCGATCCAATATAAGCAAATCGATCCGAATCTCATATAGGATCCCAAATTTGTAGAATCTTAATGCATCACAATCCGGATCTTATAGCATTTTAGGATCCCAATCCGAACTGCGATTTTACCGATCCAAATTATTGAGTTTGTTTGGTAGGCATATTTAGTTACTGAGCAATTTAATGCATACTTTTTGATTTTTATAGTTAAGTACTCAATACAAATGTGAATATCTTATATACTTGTGGGTCTATTGACAAATTTCAAAGGATGAGACAAACTACTGGAAGTTTGTTTCCCAAAATTCTCTTTTTTCGTTTGTCTCTCTAAAAATTAAAAACAATGATTAGATTTAAACTTCTCTTACGGTGAGTGATCATAGCCAGAGGTCTTTTAATGTTTTTTTTTCTTTATGCTTTTTTGTTTTAATGTTGAATAGCCAAAAGTTATTATCCAACAGTTTTTCAACTTTCTAGTTTGTACTCTTTATCTTTTCGCCGAAAGTTAAGACAAAAATACTTGAATTCTTTTATTTCTCTTTGCATAACCTCACAAGAATAACGGTCCGTCTTTTGATGTTAAACCCTCTTTAATGTTCAAATTGTAGTTTATCAAATTTCAATCATACCTTAAGTTTGATTTTTATTGTAATATTCCTATTTGCATAAATACTAGGCTTGTTTAAGTCTTGTTTTTGAGAAATTTGTATTCCTACATATAATTTTTGTCTCATTTTCCTAGTTGATAGGATCTTACAATTCTCGATCCAATCCTATAACCTCCCCCATTGATCCAAGATAAGATCCCAATTTTAAAAACCTTAGCTGCTGCTTGGCATTTGGATAGTTTGGCAAAGTTCGATTTTTTGGTGAGTTTAAAATTGAATTACTAATGTTGTGTAGCTTTGGTGAATATCTAATCTATATTTTTATGTTTAAAGGCGCTGTGAATATGTTAATTGCGTTTAGAGATTTGAGTTTGTATTTGTATGTAGGTTCTTGATTTGATACTTTTGAATTGGGTTTTGGCTTAGTTATTTGAGGCATTGAAAGATTCAAAAGATAGCTTTTATATATTCAGAGTTTAAATTGTTTGTTTATATTGAATGGATCAATGAACTTGAGATATTCATATGAATGGCGCTAAAAATTGTTCTTCACATAGATAAGGAAACTACAGAATGCTCACAGCCAAAGTTTGCTGTCCAATAGGTTTGTGGATTATGGTGGAAATGGGAGGGAAGAAAATGGGTTGTGGTGGTTGGTGGAGTTTGATGGGTGATGATGGATCGGAGACAACACTGGGCATGGATTACATGAATTCACATGACTTTTTTTCTGACTGTGCAATCAGTCTTCAGGCCAATACGTTGGTTTTTGTACTGGTGGTGACACCAACGTTTTATGAGCTCATAGATTAGAATTATTTTCTGATGTTGAGATACTGTCATTAATGTTGAGTTTTTGCTTTTGTTGATTGAAGTTTTCTGGCAATGCACTTCTGAGTAAGAATGGGGTTCAATTATGGCAATGGATTTTTATCTTTTTAATTACAATTTTTTTGTGGTGAGTAGTGCCTTCAAACACGAGCATTAGCTAATGCTACAATAAGATTCCTTGTTTCTCATTCATAAATTATTAGTTCCCAAGAGGTGGTGCACACGTTACACGTGTTTTCCGCACTTTAATTTTTAGTTATTGCCCTTTTTTTTGCTTGCATGCAGTTATCTCATCTTCTTTATTATACATGTGAGGTTTCCATGCTACAAGTGGCATCATGTCAAAGAAAGAGAGACTAAACACCTAATGCTCTAGCCTCTTTATAATAGAATAGATGAAGCTTACACTCTGTTTTCATAACTATTGACAAAAGAACTATAATAGTACAAAGAGGGCCAGAACTCTTCGATCACCAAGAAAAAAAGACGAAACATGAACACCGTTCCTTTTTAAATAACGAAGTAATGGGGGCGTACTCAGCTTCAAAGAACTTCAATCCAAACAAGCATTTTATACCCTATTAGGCGGACCAAACATTACAAATCCATGAGCCCAATAGGTTAATAAAGTTCTGAAGAAAAATCCTAGAAAAATGTCTGACTCAAAAACATGGCTATATATCAAATGGAAATCATATCTGGGAAATCTTAACCGAAGTTTTTAATGTTACTATTTAAATGATAGATTTGATTGATATGTGGTGCAATTAAGTATCATACCATTAAGAGGAGTTAGCTAAGATTTCTATCTAGAAACTTTTAATGGCATACAATACCACAACGTACCTATCTCCAACCACATCAACTTTTAATTGTCAACTTGAGTGTATGGCATAATAAAGAACAACTAACTGCTTAAAATAAATTTACTCTAAATATATATTAAAAAAGAAACTCTGAACCATGCGAACACTAGTACTGAGGAGTCACTCGAAAACCAAATGCAGTGATTCTCACAAATTTGACATGTCCAAGGATTAAGACACAAGGAAGAATACACAGAAAATCAATCCTAAGCTTCAGTGGCACAATCCTGACACATATATGGAACATATTGTGAAGAAACTAAGTAAATAAAGAATACCTCCAAAGAAGAGCTGCAGCGCTGATACATAGTATGAACAATGCTGAGGAAATGATACATTACTGCAGTAAAATCATTATGGATTCTGGGCTGGGCCTTCACTGCATTCAGAACCTGCACAACAAAAAATGTGTCTATGAGACAGAGAAAGCATTGCATTATGCTTCAGGATTTCAATTGGAGAAACAGAACTATCTAAATTATCTGCCGCACAGAGCAGAAACATGAGAATGTAGCATATGCAGCAAAGGATTACAAAACTTGCTACATGACCGCTTTTGCTCCTAAATTCTCACCAATGATCTGGTCAGATCTTCATTCTCATGAGAATATATCGCACTTATATCTAACAACTTAGGCAAGTCAAGCAAATTGTTTTCCTGCAAAAGAACTACATGCAGAATTAGTAAACAACAGTTGCAATTGATATTGATCCCATCTATGACAGAGCTTAACTAATCTGCTACAAATGTAGAGTAAATAATAAAGTAAAATTCTACAGGAAAATGCATACTTAGACTAGACAGCCAAAGAAAAGTTCATTATCTACAGCAGGATAAAAACAGAAACTGATTTATTTCTAAGCAACTAATTTGGATGCCTCATGTTGACGTGGAAGAGAGATACAAACTATAAAAATGTAAGCCCCAACATAACCCAAATTCTGGCACATTGGTGAACAAAAAAAAGTAATCTCAAATGCTTATAATGTCGAATGACAACACATGAAAAACACATGACAACAGAAAACACGACAAATTGGCGATTCTAGATTAATTTATAAGTGTGGCTCAGAAAAATAATAATTAAGAATTGTAATTTCATCTCTTGAACACTGGGCATCTACCATACCCAACTTTGAAAATATTTACAGTCATCAAAATAAAGGACAAAATTTGGCACTCAGTATTACATCATGATAAGCTCTAATAAAACTGCTTAGGTTCAGCAACCCTGATGCTGTTTTAACCCCATAGAATTAACGTACATGCCTCAACTAGAAGGCCATATGAACATAATTCACAAAAGGAGACAGTATACCTGCATGATCTTTCATACTCAGGCTATCAGCCGCCCTAGCACCGGGATCCCGGTTGGAAGATCTGCAGCAGAATGAAAATCAAACTCATCACCAATCCTGAGAGAAACACAGCAAACCACCGATCCACACCAACCAAACTCGACACCAAAGCTTTGTAGACTCGAGAACTCGCTTATAGAATGCAAACTACAAAGTGAAGATAAGGAATATGAAACTATTAATCTCAAACTTAACTTACATGCGATACAAGACCATAAAGACACGCCGGCCCAGCTCATACTCGCCAACAATGACTCCTGCCACTATTCCCTTTGTTCCACGATGGGGGAAATCATACCACCTACTTCTGAATTTCAGGAAGCTTTCCAGGAATGCATGAAGGGAAGTATTACTAGCCACTGATAAGAATGCGAGTGAAAGGTTCACACATGTTATGTTCACTAAGTCACAACCTTGCAAATTTGTGAAACAAAAAAAATTTGAACAATGATTCAAAAATTAAGTTGGTATCATTGACATACACTAAACTTTAACAACCCAATTAGGCAACGAAACTTTTTATTAATTTTTTCCGTTTTATCCAATTGCTTCAAATGTAAGAAAGAAATCAACTGCTACCCTTAATCATCCAAAACAAATTATTTTTAACTCAATGCACAAAAAAATCGATCACATAATGTTTCAAAACACGATATAATAAAGTAGAAACAATTTAAGAAAACATATAAAGCAAGCAAATTACTTAAACATGTGAATTATTAATTACCTTCTCTCCAGAAATCTCTAGGGCTCAACTTAAGCAACCTCGACAACTCTCTATTCAGAAGATCAACAACTCGCTGAGACTCCACAGGATCCAATCCACCCTCATCAGCCCCGAGACCAGCCGCCACCGCCTCGTCTTGGGGCAAGTAATTTACGAAACTTCCACTCTGAGTTCCACTAGAAACCCAATCACCATTCTCCCCCCTCCTAACCCTACTCGCTGACTCGGCGGCGCCACCACGACCACTACCGCCACTGCTAGCCGTTGCGACAGCACCGGCATCGGATTGTGGAGTGAGGGACTGTCTGAGAGAATTAGAGAGGGTTGTGTTGGGCGTCTTTTGGACGAATTTCTTTTGGGTTTTGGAGAAGCCCTTGGTCCCTTCGTGCCTGTTATGGGTGGATCGATTTGACATTGTAAATGTTTATATGTACAGGTGTGTGTATCTGACTCTACAGAGGGAGAGGATTTGATCGGAGAATTGTTGGAGGAGAAATTGTTGCTCCGGAGGCAATCAGAGCTGCCTGGTGTGTGCGTGTGTATATTTGTGTCTGAGAGAGAGAGAGAGAGAGAGGGATGAAATTCACACTCATGTGGTTTGATTTATAGTGTGGGTAGTTTTCAATCGAGGACTTGATTTCCGGGATATTATTTTCCACCCACAGGCCACAGCTTTTTAGTGAGAGATGTTTTGGTAAAAAATCTGTAATGCTTGAGTTAGTAATTTGAATTCAACATTTATAAAAATATAATAACTGATCAATCTAATTTCATATTTCAAATCGAATTTCTTGATATATTTCATATTTGCACTTTACCCACTCATACTTCTGGTTTTTATTAAACGAATGGAGCTTGAGGTTAATTTTAATTTTAAAGTTTGTTCAAACAATAACTTTACATTAGACTTGCCAACACAAAGCCCGTCTAGAAGATTCTATTTAGAATTACAAATTTGGGACTGTGATTATATGACAGACAATACTATTTGTATGTATAATAGAGTTTGATTGAATTTAAGTTCAAACACAAGTTTAAATTTAATTCACTTAAATCAATCTAACCCTGTCTCTCAATCGAAAATCTATCTCCAAAACACTTTGCCAACGAACAAACAGGATGCAGATCATCTAATGCTCAACTCCTTTGCCCGCCTACTTGTACCAAAATGTTGGTTTTCAAAACCATGGTGCTTAATGAACTCAATTCGACTTCACCTACCAAGCTAGGTGATGCAATTTGGTCTTTGTGTTATCGGCATACTTTGAATTTACTGAAGCATTGAGTTTTTGGTGCCGTCAGCATCGATAAAGCTTCGAGTTTTTGGTCTTCTAGGAAGCTATAAAGCTTGGAGAGAGGAAAAAAATTAAAGCAAATAGCTTTTAGGACAACATAAGCATTTTTTTTAAAAGTTTCGGATATAAAATTAGGTTTTTCATTGAAGTTTATCAAATTAAGATTTTTACTCAAATTTTAGTTTGAGTTTGGATCAACATTAGAGATGCCCTTATAGCTTAAACATTGGAGGCAGCACTATAGCAGCAACACCAAAAAAAAAAAAAACAAGAGGGGGAGAACAGAAAAATCCGATCATCCGTCTTATACAAACTACAAAGGGCTAAATATATTGTTAAGTGACCTGGGCCGACCAAAAATGATCAAAAACAAAATTGGGAACTCAATATTCACCAATTCCAGCAGAACTTCATGCCAATGCGTACTTCTGTACGCTGAACTTTCTGTGGCACATCTCAAATGGGTCAAAAATATTTAGGCAAGACAGTTCAATGTAGGATGTACCCATGTCTGGGTTGCCATCATCGACTCCTCACAGACCCTAAATTTTCGGATTCATGAGTTAAGCTGTTCCAAAGTTGATTAAAATCAGCAAACTTTTTACATATCTTTTCTTCATAGGCCTCTGCACAGACGCAAGGTCATGATCTGCAGATTCCTGAAGGATTTATGTTGCAGATCGGCACCTGCAATCTCTTTCCCCACTCTATTTCTCACATATACTATTTATAAATTAAACCCACTCAAAATTTGTTTCTTTAGGCAAAACCAAAGCAACAAGGCAACCTGAAGGATTAGGAGCAATGGAGAGCATAGAACATGCATCGAGTGAGTAGGGAAGAATGAAGAGAAGTCTTGCCCACATGGATTTCACAGCTGGGATTTTTATCACCCCCGCACATTCCCTCTGTTTCAAATATGATACGAAATCTTGAAACTGCACAAAAAAGTTGTAAACATGTTAATTCGACTAGAACTGTGTCTTAAGAGTACAACACAGAAACTTGACCACTGTAAAACAAAAAAGTACATAAACACTACTTTAGGTCTATGACATGTATTATGTGCAATCATCATATACACACCAAGTATAATTGGTGGCACATCCAGGAGCTTATATTTTATGCACATGCCTGTTACATCTTGCCATTAAACAAATACTATCCAACATTCCATTAAGATACCGAGAAGGGTTTAATTAAACTAGAGTTTTTTCTTTAATTTTCTTTGATATAATTACGACTATAACCTCCAATATTCATATGATTCTTATTATTATAGTTGTTTTGGCCAATAATTTGATAAAAGGATATGCCAACACGATTTCAAAGAAAACCGTAATAACTCGTGCTTCTTAAAAGTCTTCTCAATGATAATTGCTTTTTGGGTGGCACAAGTCACGACTACAATAATAGCATTCTGTAATATTTTGTGTGTGTGTGTAAGTTTTGAGTGAGAGTCTGGGTTTTGGGGGGTGGGGGGACTGGTGGGATTAGTTGGTGGATATAACCAGGAAGAAAATGAACTGTACCAGAATAGTCAACCAACTAGAGGAACCTGAATAAATAACTTGAAGTTTACTGTTTGGTTCCACTTTAGATGACAGTGTGCTTTGATTCTATTGTATATTTCGTTAAGGGGTATCTGTTATTTTCTCCTTTTCTGTATGAATGTCACTTGGACAAGACTACATTGAGTTGAGTTGATTGTTTACTGACTAGACCAACCAAAACAGGATGACAGGATAACTTACGCCTTTAAGGTCGCCCGCAGAAGAGGGGAACAGCCAGCATACCTCTCTCTGCATCACATTCAAAACCATGGTTAAATTATTCTCCTTTCAAACTAATTAAAACATGATAGGAATAATGACACTCTTCTCTCACTTCCAAATATAAACTAAAGAAGCAACTTAATATAAAACATGAGGAGCTCGATAAGCAGTAGTAACTGCTTCATTCTACTCACTCAAGACTGGATGGCAGAGGCTGTAACAGAATGTACTCCACAAACACATCGTTCCCATGTTATAGAAAAACAAACAAGAAATCAAGCAAATATAATCTGTAGAAGTAAACATTGAACAAGTGATCTTATCCTCAACTACCTCCAATGCGTTGAGCACAATTCCATCAGGTCAGTATCACTGAGGAACAATGTCAACAGGACAGACAAATTTGTTGTGGAACAATTATTCATCAATTTGAACGTCAGCAAGTATTTGTAAAAGCATCACAAAGGTTTGACAAAGTCCAGAAGTCAATCTACTGCAAATTCAAATCATGTTAGGGAAGGGTAAGCAGAGCCATCTACTATTGGCTCTGAAACTATTCCAGATAGGAAGTTTGATGAAATTAGAACAACCTTCAGATGATTTAGGATATTTACAAACAATATATGTGAAATTATAAATGACAGTAGTAGCCTTCTTTACTAGGATGGCAGCACTATAAAATGTAGGAGTTTTAAACAATTCAGGATATTTAATCATACTGCTGATATTGATAGTTTTCTTTATTTTTCTCCCTTGGATACACAATAAACAAGCACTGATGCACAAGCGCCAGATAGATGCATGCAAACATAAAACATATAGACACACACAAACCTAAGTAGCTAAGAAAACTAACTTTTTAATAGAGAAGAGTTACTTGACTAGAATAACCTTCTAGACACCCATCCACCAACCCAACACAACCCACAAACACACATGCATCCACACACATGAATATATTTCTATGCACGCATCAGCATCTCCTACTTCTCAAATATCACTTGTTACTCATTTTCCAACCGCATCAAAGAATGGGCCTTAGGTGAGCTCCTCCCCATACCCCCTCTCATACCCAAATCAAGCCAGGCTCCCTGCCAAGACATCACCAAACCCACAACTTGGGGTGGGCAGGGGCTATGCAGGGTCGAGTTCAGGCCAGGCCTCTGCAAGTTAACTAACTACAAATTTAACGTTAGCCCAGATTTAGCCTCGGGCCAGATGTACCTAGTCGAAGCCAAGCCCTTGGGCCAATCTCATGGCCCAGGTCCAGAGGGAATGGATATTTACAGCTAAGAAAACTAAATAACATGGTTTTTCCCTGCTCAATATATTTTATACACATACTCATACTACAAAACCAGTTTAAATCTGTGGATAATATCATCTCGTTTCTCATTAAAATGCTTACTAGTTAGAGGCATTTAAACAACAGAGCAGTTACAAAGTCAGTGAACATTTAAAGTGGTATGATGTGGTAGGCCCATGACATCAGGTAGATTCCTAAGGTAAAAAATGGTACTAAAACTACATACACATGAGCTTTCCTCTTTCTTTTATAGTTCTATTTCTATTACACACAAGGATTCCCCTTTCTCATATAGTTCTATATTTCCATGCCTGTATGCGTAGGAGACCTGATAGAATATTAGATTGACCATGAAAAGGGGTGATGGAAAATAATAACCAGGGAACTAGTATAAGTCTACATGCATTAAGTTGGTACTCTAACTGATAAAATGGAAGACATTCTGTTTTCTTTTTCAAATTACGTTAACTTATAAAACATGGAATGCAAAGAAATACTATACTAGAAGTGTTGAAGAGGTAATATGCATTCTAACAACTTAAAAGACCACTTTTGAGAGAACCATGATTCAAAATAGGTGATTTGTTGTGATCTTTTACAGTTGTCACTTGTCAAAGCATGTCTTCCACTCACCAAGAACATTGTAAAGTTTTGGCTCAAGAACTTTAAATGCCAGTTTGCCATGGTGTTCAGAAACAAAAAGCAAAGTAATCGCCTAAATCCAGAGTAAGTTGAAAATTCAAAGCAACAGGCACACAACCATACAGAGAAAAACCCACACAAGCACACACACATACTGAGAGAGAGAGAGATTAGATTAGGACTATTGAGTGACTCACTTTGTGTGGTGGAGTACTAGAAAATGTAGACCTCACGTGCCGAAAATCTGTGCGTTTTGTCATATCTAACTTAGTAGGCCATCTGTACAGGAATAACCAAAAAAAATCAAAAATTAATCATTTTTCCTTTCAGTTCATTGGAGGAAGAAACAAACGAGAAGCAAGTCATTACTCCGCAGGCTCAGCAATGGAACTTGAATATTTGCAGATCTCAGAATCCACTCTCTTTGCATAAATTGTACAGTAATGAACACCACTTTTACTCAATGTGCCCTGCCACTGATAATGGGGATGATGTTTAGAACTTTCCAAATCCGAAGATTCCACAGAAGATTCCATAGGCGGAGGCGGAGGGGGTGAACTAGGCGGAGGGGGAACAAAAGGTGGCAGGGACTGTGGTGGAGGAGGTGGGGATGGAGGCAACGGGGGTGGCAAGTTAGGCTGAGGAGCTAATGAAGGAGGCAATGTAGGCTGAGGTGGTGGTAACGACGTCAAAGGGGGTGGTACAATGGGCAAAGAAAACATTTGATCAAATTGTGGCCTTAAGCTTCCCTGTATCTGTGCAAGTGGAGTCACAGAAGCTGGTAGAAAAGGAGGTACAATAGCAGTACCATGAAGATTATTAGGCATTACACGTGGTGAGATTGGATATAAAGGCACATTACAATTCAAACCACGTGGATCCCAGGAACTGTTAGAAGTAAAATACACAGGACGCATGAAAGAGGGTGCTTGAATTGGCTGTGGGGGTGTAATAGTAGGTCCCTGTGTTGGTGCTGGTATGCATGGAATGCTCCCTGGTGCAGAATGCTGCTCGATCTCAGATTTCCTGTATATCCACGTTTGTTCAGCAGCCCCAGAAATGACATGACCACCTGAAAATTCATTAGTTAGACCAAAAAACAATGAGTGCACAGTTCCTTTTAAGTAAGAATGAGCTACTTAAAGTCTTAACAGATGAAATATTACCTCCTGGCGAAGGATCCATGACCATATTATTATCATAATCACCAACATTTCTTGCTCCAACTTCAGGCGTCCCTTTACAACCAAAAGCTGTCCAATTCGACAGAAGTGCATGTCCACTTTGCATAATGGTTCCCTGATTTTCAGGATTTATTCTCGGTGATGCAAACTCCAGAGTGTTAGTCTCAGATTTTGCTGTAAGAGGAGCCAGGTGGTGCTTCCCAGGGTGACTGCTTAAAGAGATGCGCAAAGTTCATCAACTAATAGATACTACATATGAAGTATTTGTGAATATGGACTATTGTAGGGAGAATGTGAGAAGACAACTCTATAGATAGTCATATAAGAATCACACTAGAAACTCAAACAATGATATCATGCGTCATTTTGCTAAATGCACAAGAAGTAACACTGCATCTAGACATCATTATCAGTATATTTTTTTGATAATTATATAATTTTATTTATAAAACACAATTTATCTATAGCGTATCTCCAACGTGTTTCATGTCCTACGTTTTTTAAAAAATGTCGTGTCTGTGTTCGTGCTTCATAGGTTTACGCAGCACTGGGGTATAGAAATAAAGGGGGTTAGAAAGTGAGGAAAAACTAATCCAGACACAATAAATGCAAAGGAAAGCTGCAATACAAACGGAAGGCTGGTATTTCTCTGATCCAAAAGTATGAATACAAAAGTAACAAACTTCAAAATTCTAATAGAATTAAGTTTAGACCAACATCCACCACTAACAATGAGAGGCTGCACATGTTAGAAACACTCCTTCCCAAGAATTTTAGCATACTAATAAAATTCTTGTCCTCCAGTCCATTAGCATTTACACATGAGTGGAGAATTATCAAACCAAGCAATAAGTACGCCTAAAGCCCTCATTGCAAGAGACCTCCAAGATCGTGTATAAATCTCTAGTGGATTATTTCATCCAAAATATGAAAGGAGAAAAGAAAAAGAATGCAACAAGATCCAGAAATTAGGTGAAAAGTTAGCCGCAGAAAATAATTGAGAATTTAATCAAACATCATAATGCCTTTTCCAGTAGCAAGTGTAGAGTCTCTCATCTATGATAGTAATTTATGAACTAAAATTTTCTGTAATTGGTAGGAATTATGGAGACAAGTCACAAACAGTAGTTCTCACATGGGGAGAAATACAGTAGGTTAAGGATAAGAAAGGCATGTATGATGTATCCACTTAATTGGTGTGAATAACCCTACAAATGGAAAACCAATTGAAACATGAGAAAGAAACCTAAAGAACCAGACTGGACAAAAATTCCAAACCCAACTCCTATCTGGAGAAAATGCCAGAACAACTATGACGATGCTTCAGAAAAGAAAATTTGCAGTGTATATGCCGTGCATCCAACAAACTAGCAAGAATCCACAAGCATATTTGTTCACTAGTTATAACCTGCGGATGAAGGCACCAAAAAATCGATCCCGCTATAACCTGCGGATGAAGGCACCAAAAAATCGATCCCGCTATATTAAATAAAGATTTTTCTTTTCTTCATTAATTTGATTACATCATTTAAAATTTATTTTAATCCATTATTTTTTATAAAATATCGACAAAAATTGTGTATACTATTGTATATGGATAATGTTGGAAATAAAAATTTACATATTAAATGATTAAACATGTGATAGAAATAAGTGATTGAATGGTTTTGGGGGGAAAAAATATGTATGGGATAAAATTTCAAACTCCTAGCTGTTTTATTATATAGATGTCAACTTGACAACATATCCTCCCTTATTTGAGCAAGGTTACAAGCAGCCATTAGCACATCATTTGTGAGAATGAGGGACCAATGTTTGGAATGTCAATTTAAAGGCTGCTGGTTGGTAATTGATATTCTCTCATCAAAGAAGCTAGGTAGCTTCCAGAAATTTGGTCAGTAATGGAATATAAAATCGCGTGTAGATAATATTTTGTGTGTAATTGTGGTGCAAAAAAGAAAAAAGTGATGACCTTGTCCTATGATTGTCAGCTGAGTTCTCAAGCACTGGTTGAGCATGAGGTGATCCAATAATACTGTTTCCATGGTTGTTGCTTCTTAAGTCAACCAGAATAGAAGCAGACCCAGGTCTTGCATTTTCTCTATTCATTGTGACATTGGCCGGACTGATATTGGAAGGCAGAGGATGGTCATTATTTTCCTTACGACGCTGTCTGAGATGAGCCATCGCAATGGTAGCTTCTTCAGGAGTCTCAAATTCTATCAGTAATGCACCTTCACTGGTAAGGTCAGTAACCATGCGAGGGGCCTTGTAAACTACTTTCCTCAATTCATGCATAATCTCATCCTTGGCCCATTGGTTTGGAATATTTCCAACATAAACATGGCAACTAGAACCAACGGCAGCACCATTCAGAGCTCCCCTAGTCCCTAATCCTATATCCAAGAATTTTATGCGAAGGCAGGCACCCCAAGGGGAAAGTCCCCGCATGACTTCTCTGGCCTTTATCGCGTCCATAATGTTTCTGTACTCTATCAAGGCAAATCCTTTAAATGGGACAAATTGGAATTGATCTAAAGGACCAAACTTCTCAAATTGAAACCTTATAAAAGCTTCAGACACATCAGGGCCCAAAGAACCCAACCATAGCTTTCTAGAAGCAGAAAATATATCCATAGCCGCTGGGTCCCCATCAGAGTACCAAATTACTTGATTCTTTGAAGGATGTGAAGGTGGGAAATGGTTTCTGGGGGATTCAAAATCACAAGTTACACCTCCACTGGAGGATCTGAAGGCAGGTAAGCTAAGATCCGTGTTTGAAACTTGATTCTTTTCCAGCTGAACTATATGGTTTCTACTGTCAAATGAATTACTCCTCATGATGTCCCATGGTTTTCTTGCTATAGGTGAGAGCATTTGACTGTTCAATAACTCTCTGGGTGTGGAAGATCTGGCACGGGATACATCCCCAAGCTCCCCAGAATCAAAATCCATGGACCTTGAACCTACACTGTCAAGGTTTGGGCTTGCATTTGAGCGGAAATCAACTTCCACGGGAACTGCTGAACCACGATGTTTCAAATATGAACCAGGAAATTTGTCAGCCAAATCATCAGGAAAAGATCCATCAGAATTTCTTGAAGTACAATCCCTCCCAGAAACTTCAGAAGTAGTTTCATGTTGACTAGAGATCCTAGGTACCAAATATTGTATGTTGATATATTTGGATGGATTGGAATCATCATCATCACTATCTACTTGACTGACTTCTGTCTTAACTTGTTCTGTAAAAGATTCAAATATTCCCTCCAGAACAGATGTAACATCTGACACAACTTGAGAGGATGCTGATTTACATAACTTGTTATACCTTGAGAATATCCAACTTTTCAATGACTGGTCTTTGCCAAAAACCTGCATAAACATAGCCCAGGTTCAAGACAGTCAGTGGAAAGCCATTAAACCAATTATCTGACTCAACTCATAGGTAAACAGTTTGAATTGTATATATTTTAATCCTCATTTGCACACCACAGGGAGCTGTCCAAATCCAAGACAAGACCAGTTGTTCAATGAAAGGTCAGAAAAAAATAGATTTTCATCAGATGACACCCGGAGAAACAGAAACATCATGGGAAAATCTCATTAGCACAACGATATTTCAGGCTATTCCTACAGGACTATTATGCTGAAAGGATCCATCAATAAAAGTAACTTTGAAAAGGGAAAAGAGGTACACCAGTAAAATAAATTAGAGCAAGTGCATCAGAACTGTACAAATTGTAGTTGACATATTCCTTAACAAAGAACAAATTGAGATGCTTTTAGCAACGTATATTGCCGTTGTACTATATCAATGTAAGTGTCCCCTTTCTCCAAACCATGGAAATGCAACAATGATGCCAAGTGCCCTTCTCCTCTGATATCATCTTCCTCAAATAAAGAACAGGATGAATGAACGAACAAAAGCATCATGCAAGCACCAAGCAAACAAGAAGAAACTCTGTCAAACAAGTGCAATGTGGAGCAGAATACAGGGTCTCTACTTACATAGAAAAAAATCTGCCACTAATACTCCCTTCAAGGGCTTTTTAATGCAAATATCAAGAAATTTAAAAGTTTCCTCTTAAGTACTTGACGATAGATTTGCAGATGCTGGAAGAATTTCATGGCAGCAAATATTTGCCAGTTAATAGTAATCTATCTGAGGGGACAAAGTTTCAGAGAGATAAGTAACTTACTAAACTGCAAATCTTCCGACGGTTAAAATCACAAATCCGAGTTAAGCAGCCTATAGGGAGTCCATGTACAGGCCAAGAATCAAGTACCTTAAAAATGTGTCTAGATAAAATTTAAAACTTATGTACCTAAAAAAATAAAAATATTAATAAAAGCTTAAACATAATGTAGTACAATTAATAACTAAAACCAACGGTCTAGGCAAAACATCAGTTCAAGATCAGAAGCAACTCTTAAGCATTACCAGTCCCAACAAGCAATTCTTCAATACAGGAAATGCATTTCCTGGGACATCGTTGCCATCTGATACAGCTTCGCGAATTCTATTACCTAAAGGCTGAGTTATATCATCATCAAGGCTACTTGTAACCTGACTAAGAAAGTAATGACCTTCGTTGTGAACTCCCCCTGTAGCAGTAGAGGCAAAGAGCTCAAAACAAGCTGAAAGTGACTTTCTAGGAGAGCAAAAGAAAATCTTGAGAAGACTAAGAGCACGAAACTTGGATAATTTAGTCAATGTGGAGGCCTCTTCATCTGAAAACTTTTGCCTGAACTCAAAAAAGAATTCGGGGGAATTTTGCAACTTTAGAATTCCCTTATCAACAATTTGAAAGATGTCCTTTCCCTCTAAAGAAGATATGAAGAAGGTAAGTACATTCAAAAAAACTGCAGAACAGATGCCCCGAATAACTGATGATGTTGGTGCCTCTGAAGAAGCAGTGTGACATATATCAGCCAAACCAAAAATGCAGGCTTTAGCAGTCTCAAATGCAACACCATCAATGTCCTCTCCCCTACTTATCACGGCTAAGCTCCAGTTATGCATATTGATAATGACCTTTGCTGCAGCTTCAAGAGCAGTTGGACAATATGAAGCATATTGAGGGATGAGATCCGCTACTATACGTTGTACACTTGTACAACCTGCAAAGTCAGCAGCATGTATGACAAACAAACGTTTAGTCTACTTACCAAAAAAAAAACTTTTAGTATTTTATGAGCCTGGTATTATCATGCGTTAACATCAGGAAACCTCGTAAGCAATATCTAAAACTTCCTAGCCAAAAGAATACAGATCAATTCCCATATCAATTGATACCTTCCTTTTTATTTCATGTACTCTTTTTTTGTCCAACACAGATCTCGGCATGGCATTCAAACTAGTAGCCACACAATAAACAGTACAACACAATTCATATAACAAGCTTACAACATAATTCATTCCATCTCGACCTATGCTAATCAATGCTAGTTAGAAAGGGACAATAGCAACAATAATTTGATCCCTATCACAAGGGGGAAAGGCTTTCTGCAAGCATGGCTCACTCTACATGGCTGCTCACTTGAGTTGTGTAGATCAGTGTTATCTGGATCACGGGTCAGATTTGGTATTTGACATGGGTACAAGCACACAGTGTAATAGTTTCTCCGATATGCAGAGCAATGGATAAACTTAGCAAGTACAGTATTTTCGGTCGCAGTTCGCTTCGAAACTCTTTTCCCAAATCTCTATTCCTATTATACCCATAGTCAATTAATATTTATTTCAAATTTATGATAAGAGGTCCAAAATTGAATATTAGTTACAGCTTAAGATTCTAGTGTCGGATTACTAGGATTGTGGCTCGAATAGGGATTAGGGTTGCAATCTAAGATTGAAAATTTAGACAATCTAGGTAGCGAAACCACCCTCTTTGGGGGTGTTGCAACTCCGTATCACGGGATACATCTGATCACGATTTCCCCAACGTAGATATCCCAAGCAACTAACTATTAAAGATACATAACTTTTCTTGGAAGAAATACTTCTTTTCCAATTTAGGCTGCTAAATTATTACATTACACTGCACACTAACTCATTGTTTTTTGACTGATTTAATCAAATATGGTCTTATAAGTTTGTTCTCTCACAATTAGAGAGTCAATAGTTCTTGAATTTATTCCCTAAATTCTTTGCTGACTTTCTATGTATAGGATCAACGCATTCAATAAGTGCCGCTGCTAATATGGCAGCATTCCATGTTGCATTTGTTGATATGATAAGCCATTTTTAATTTAAGTTGATATGAATTGTCTTGAGCTTTATTTGCAAAATTGTTCAATTATTCACTTCAAATTTAGATAAGTTGGACAGAATTACAGATTAGTTCCATATGTTATTAATATTTTATACATTAGTTCCTTGTATCATTGCTTAATAAAGTGACGTTATGTATCACTGTGACCTCAACAGGTTATCAACCTACCATTTTTTCCAATCAGTATTGCTAACCTATCCTCATTTCCTATCTTTTGCACCCATGTTTAAACCACATAGCCCTCTACCAATTAGTTCCAGCTAACTCGATCTATGTCGCGTGTAGATATTTCATCAAATAAAGAAATACCAAGGAGAGGTGATATCTCCTGCCACCTCTTGGTAGAGGTATATATCCTGCCACCCTAAAACGGAGGTAAAGGGTTCACATCCCAAAAGGAATATAGGTGATTGCGTGATCCTAAGATGACTGCAATAAGGGAGGAGAATTTTCAGGAAAGGAAAAAATACAAAGATTATATATCCATTTATGTCTAACATCAGTACAACCTAATTTATCATCAATAAAATCCAATTGGATCACACTCTTGGCAATGTTACAGCTAGACATTTCTCCGCTAGACTCCACGCCTATGGCTGTGTTGGCTCAAATTTGTTTGTCGAAGACGATGACTAGTTTAGCTTCTGCTCACCTATTCCCCCCAAAACAAATAAAATGAGAGGAAGAAACAAAAATTACTTCCCTAGGTGAGCCATTTGCTCGGGAATACCCTAATGGTCTCCATGTTTGATTTGATCCTTTCCATCATCTATATATTGTCCAATTCAAAGCACCAATAGTCATGTAAATCACGCATATTCAAGGCCAAAATTTTGTTTCTGTCATTACCAGCGCAGTTGTCTTCACTGGAAAACCCTTGATTTTGCCCTTTAATTGAAAATTTCCAACATCATTACGAGGTGGAACACTATTCTATAGAAGGAAGCAAGGCTCTTAATTAAGGGCAACTCATCAGATATTATTTACATCGAGAACTATCAAAACATGGTGTTCATCTCCAATGATATAGTAAAAACTTCAAAATATAAGCTCCAAATCAATCTCTACAACCAGCATCCACGAGGTAGTGAAATACTAACTATATGGCAGAAGTTTCCATATATGAAACGTTTCCTAACTATATGGCAGCCTCAATGACAAGTATCCAGGTAATATCTTTCTAAGTAAATGACATAAGGCATTGCATAGTCCTCACAATTGGCAACTCTGCCAAGTGCATAATGCCCAATTTTATCTAACGCGGAGCAAGGGTTCAAAGGACCCCCTGAAATATCTATGCAAGAAGTTTCCACATGTTTCCTAACTATATGGCAGCCTCAATGAGAAGTGTCCAGGTAATATCTTTCTAAGTAAATGACATAAGGCATTGCATAGTCCTCACAATTGGCAACTCTGCCAAGTGCATAATGCCCAATTTTATCTAACGCGGAGCAAGGGTTCAAAGGATCCCCTGAAATATCTATGCAAGAAGTTTCCACATGTTTCCTAACTATATGGCAGCCTCAATGAGAAGTGTCCAGGTAATATCTTTCTAAGTAAATGACATAAGACATTGCATAGTATTCACAATTGGCAACTCTACCAAGTGCATAATGCCCAATTTTATCTAACACGGAGCAAGGGTTCAAAGGACCCCCAGAAATATCTATGCAAGAAGTTTCCACATGTTTCCTAACTATATGGCAGCCTCAATCACAATTGTCCAAGTAATATCTTTCTAAGTAAATGACATAAGACATTGCATAGTCCTCACAATTGGCAACTCTGCCAAATGCATAGTGCCCAATTTTATCTAACGTGGAGCATTCAAAGGACCCCCTGAAATATCTATGCAAGGAGTTTCCACATGTTTCCTTATATGGATCTTCACTCACAATAATACACGTAGAAACCAAGACACTTAACCTAGAAAGGGGTGTGAATAGGTTTTTCAATTTTAACCCAAATTCAATTACAAATTAAAACTTATATCTACCACAATTACCTCTTCCCACAAGTAGGTAGCAATAAATGTGAGAACCCTTCTAATCACCACAACACTTCACACACATAAAGATTAATTAAATTAATTTATTTGTAATCAATTTCAAAGTCGATCCCAACCACCCCACAAACTCAATTGCATAACTATGGATGACATAATATCAAACAATCAAAATATCAAATATATAGTGTGTGTGCTAACAAATGCAAGTGTGTACAATAACCAAAAAGAAACTAACAATTTATTGATGCGAAAAACTCTCCTCTAAGAAAACCGCGAGAAACAACTCAGAGTTCATCAAATCCTAATTCATTACTCTATAAGTCAACATACAAATACTCGATTCTTATACCTCAACCAATACCCATAATGCCCAATTTTATTTACCGCCAAACAAGGGTTCAAAGGACCCCCTGAAATTATCTATGCAAGAAGTTTCCACATGTTTCCTAACTATATGGCAGCCTCAATGACATGCATTAGTCCACTTTCACTGCCAGTACTCCAGTTCGATGGGACTCAAAACACTCCGATAATAAATTATGCAATATGGACCCAATAGTTGCTGAAAGAATACAAGATATTGAGAGAAATCGCACTTCAAACCATAGGTTCTCATGATCAGGGGCCCAGAAAAGTAAAGCCTCCACACAATAGCGAGCATTCAAAAACCAAATCGACTTGATTCAGTTGAATCTTTGATTCTTTGCATACGAAAAGAACCCAAAAAAAAAAACACAATTCGTAATTTGCTTCTCTTTTTTCCCATTTCTTTTGCTCGATTATCAACAATTAGAAAGAAGCCTCAAATAATTAAAACGACTAATTATCAGTGTATGGATTCCAAATTAAAGAATATCAACAGAATCAAATAATTTTTTCTTCCAGAAACAGTGATGGAAGAGAAAATTCTGACCTCTAGAAGCAGTGATGAGAGAGAGGTAGGCTTGTTCAAGGTCGGGCATGAAACGAGAGTCTTTCTTCGATATGCAAAACTTAACTCGTTTGTAACAGTCGTACAAGCTTCGAATCTCCTCTCTGTTCCGTCGCCTTCGGAGAATCTCATCCTGAGATAGCGGCGGAGGTTCGAAACTCTGAGGGGGACTTTGCGCCGGCAGTGGAGGCGCCGGCAGAGGTATTTCTGCTTTCGGTGGTCCCGCCGATTCTGGTAGTGGTTCGTACAGCTTTCTCTTCTTCAGAGGCTGCTCCGTCGCCGCCATGGTGGAGGGGAGAGAGAGAATGAATACCACGCGCTCTATTGATTATTTGGCTAAGGATTATTGATGTGATATGACGAGCATACCCTTGTAGTCGTTTTAACATACGTTTTTGTTTGGATTCCGTGTAATTATTATACCGCACCAGAATTTGACAGAACTGGCATGAGAGTACTTTTGCGTTTCCACCTGAATTAAAAGTAGGGCTAATTTCAACTTATATTTCGAAAAATTACTTAAATTTTGATTTGTATTTTTAAAGTTTAAAAGTATTAATTTGTATCTTAAAAGATTTAAATTTGTATTAATGTGTACCTAGGACTAACTCTATCAATTTTTCTGTTAAAAAAGTTTGGGTCAATTATAAATTATACTCTCCAAGTTTAAATATTTTATATTTAAGATCCAAAAAAAAAATTTATCCATTAATACTCGTTAAATAACTCTCAATTGTATCATATCATAACATATTTGTGTTATATTCGAGTCAATAAAAAATATTTTTCAAAATTTTAGAAAAATTATAAAATACTTATTTTTTGTCTATAATGCTCATTAAAATAACTATTTTATATGTCTACAGTTAGATAAAAATCTTTTGATTGTCCGATGAAATTAAAGTTACATATGAATAACATAATTGTAGACAAAAAATAGTTAATTAATGAGTATTATAAGCAAAAAATTGATATTTTCTAATTTTTAAAAAATATTAAATAGTTTTATATGAATTGTCGTAAATGTGAAATACAAGACACAACTCAATTGACTTGACATGAAAATATTTTTTATTAAAAATATTTTTTTATTCACTCGATTATGACATAAAAATGTTATGATATGATACAATTGAGAGCTATTTAACGAACATTAATGGATTGAATTCTTTTTTGATCATAAATGTAAAATATTTAAATTTTACGGTGTGCAATTTATGAACTTTTTTAACGGCAAAATAGATATCAATTAGTCTCAATTACACATTGATATGTATTTATATATTTTAGAGTGTAAATTTATATTTTTAAACTTTGAAAGTATAAATTAAAATTCCAATAAGTTTGCAAATCAAAGTATCTGAACGACGTATTTTTTCATAAAAATTATGTTAATATACGGTCAATTGCACTTTGTATTTGAAAGATTTAAAGATTCTCATTTTATATATTCAAATATGTAAGTTTTTATATTGCACTATCAATGTATCAAAAGTATTACAATATGATTCTTCTGTTAATTTTTCTTTTTTTTTTATCACACTTTTGATATATTGAATGTACAATATGGAAAAACTAACGAAAAGTTAATAGAATGGTCGCATTACAACACTGTTGATACATTAAGGGTGTAATATAAAAAATCTAATTTTTGAAGGTATAAAATAAAAATCTTAAAATCTTTTAAGGTATAAAGTGCAAAAATCCCGTTAATAGAATTGTGATATCTAATGTTTATGAGCAATGTTACATATACTTAAAAAGTAGACTTGATAATTAGAACCATTGATTTTACTGTGAATTTCAGTATTTATTAGAACTCACTACCTATTCAATGGTTGAAATTATCAAGTTTAGTTCATATAGTATTACTCAATATTTATAGGTTTGATTTTATTACGCAAACTCGAGAGAACAACATTTCTATTATAAGATCTGCGGGCTGAAAAGGATTTTACTTGGGTAATTTTGTTCCTAATCTTATTCTATAAGATTTCGCTTATATTACTCCAGAGTAGAGTTGGAGACTATTGTACTTGTACCGTCTGATTATCCACCAACCAAATTTGGTTCTAGAGTGAAGAGTTGAAGAATTCTAAATTTTTGTATAAACCGAGTATTTTTGCGAAGATTAAGATCTTCATTACCTAAAAAAGAAACGATAGAACAGTGATACTATGGGGACCAGATGTATTACCAAGTTACTACTGCCGAAAAACAATTTTGATACTGTCCAATTACTACCGTCTACCTACTACTGTCTAGTACTATTGTCTAACTGTTATTGCCTAATTGTTCCTATAATTCAGCACTAATCAAAAGGGGTCCCTGCACGAGCCTACCCATAACTACTAAGTCTCAACTACTTAGCTAAGGTTCAATCACGGACTTAGCGTCTTAGTCCAACTCTATTCTGAGTAACAAAGACTAGTGATAAGGCTAACAATGCCTTTTGGTGAACATATTTCTGCCTTCAATCTAAAACCTAGTATCCTAGTGCTATTCTACCTCGAATAAGAAAGAGCTATAGATAAGGATTTAGGACCAAGAGTCATAATCTAATTCTATTCCGTACGTCTAGGATTTGGTGACAAGATTGAGTCAATCAATCAAGAGGTTAAGTTCCTTTGGGATACATATCTCTATTGCTATAAATAAATGTCTCCTGGTACCAAGTAAATCATTCAATCTAAGTCTATTCACTCTATACGAAGCATCAGAATCTCTCTGGTCATCTCTGATCATCGATTCATCTTGTCTTATAGGCTTTTTTCCCACCCTCTCCGTCCATATGAGGTGGTTACTTTTTATCACATTGTTGAATTTTCACTCTTTTGTTTCTTATTGACTAATATAAATAAACTCCAAGAAAATTCTAATCAATAAAAACTTTCAATCGGATTATGTTAAAGATCTTTAGTTAATCTATTTTGGTGGCCATGCTTGTCACTTTAAAAAATCTCAGAATGCATTTACCTAAAAAAAAATTTCTACCCTCATTATGTAATTGGTCTCTTTGAGTTATTGTGTGAGACCCGAACTTGTAAATGCATAACATTTTATAAATATTGAGGACTAATGTATAATTTGTGATAATTACTTTGGGGGTTAATAATAGTTATTGAATTATGGGATGTTAGGTGATGGGATAAAAGTTAACCATAGAGATTGAATTTTATTATAAAATATGTGTTTGGGGGTAATTTGTTAAGTGATAAAATATTTTACGTATAATTTAAAAGATGATGGAAATTATGTCGGGTGTATATGTGAAGAAGGAAAACTAAAGAGGACCTAAGCCCAATTAGGTCAAAAAGAGTGATTCAGCCGGACGGGTGTCCTTCTCAACTTTCTTTATGTTCGAGTCCTGCTGTGCGTCTCAACTTTCTTTATGTTCGATTTTAGTATGAAGTGGTTCATCATATATATATATACTACCAATATCTCGTGATTAAAGTTATTGTATATTAAATAATTACACTGTGCATGTATTAAAATGTGTATATGTATGTGGAGCTATGTGTTGTGGAGTGTGTGTTCGGTATAGATATGTGCATATGAGTGTATGTGTGTTTAACATGAGTCGATTGCCGCATCAGATTTTTTGTGGGATTTGGTTAGAAAGAGTATTTTGTGGGTAAGTTAAACTATTTTGTTTAATGTTGGTAATTATTGGTTGGTTTGTGTATAAATATTATTGAGTTTCTTTATTAGTAAGAGTTTTCATGTTATTTAAGGTTACAATTGTTGGAATGTAAGTTTGAAGGTGTTGGGGTTTGAGAAATGAGGTAGACGATGAAGTTTGTAACTGAAACATAGCAAAAAGTTAAGGATCGGGTCAAACATCAATCAACTGATTGGGATACAAAATCTCTGATGAACTGGTTGAAAACAATTCAACTTGAGCATTGGTGGAAGAATCGAGATAACTCTCTCTAGAAAATTTCGATTGATACACCGTTTTTTTTATTGGAACTTAAACTGGTAGATCTTTCCAACTATATGTGATACAACATCTAATTCTATTTGTGTGAATAATGGTGGCTATTTAGAGTGTAATAAAATTCTACAAATATTAACCAAGCGGTCAGCTTAGTATTTTTCAAAAGAAATGTGATAATGTTTTACATGGGAATCCAATTTTAGTCAATGACATATGGTTGCAAATCTTGGAATGTTTAATCTAAGATAACATTGGTTTCATCACGTAATTAAAAGTTTATGGACAATATTAACAAGGAGATTATTGGTCGGTCAATGTAACCATTAAATATGAACGTGAAAATTAATTTGTTTGGTTGTATAATCTAAACTAAGGTTTTGAGTTACATTATATCACTTAGGAAGAGGTAGGGAGATGTGATATGTTAAGCTTAATCAATCTTTTATGCATAAGGTGCATGATATCATGTGTTTGTGAATGATACTCATATGTCTTATATCGACATATGTTACGTACTACAATGACGATGTCAACGTCAAATTAATCTAAAAATGGTACAGAGAAATTGAGTTCGATTTTGGATATAAACTTGATGTGAGTGTATTGAATCATATTAGTTGGAAATGTGATTGACTGCTTATATTAAACCATGTGTACTAGCTAGAAAGTGATGTAGTAGATTATAACTTGTGAGTAGTGATATAATGGGGGCATGAACTATGAATTGGTGATTAGTTATGAGCTTAAGATTAATTATGAGAAGTAATTTAATAGATTATGAATTGTGAAATGGTAATGGTTTGTTACTAGCTTTATTTATTTGCTTATAGTTAGATTAAGACTAAATTGCTTAAGAATTGTGTATTGGCGTTGGGTATGGTTTCAAGTATTTGAATTGATTATGGGTGCTTATCAATGTATGGTAGCCAAGACTAATGGGCGTAAATGGTAGCGATTTAATAGTCGAGACTCCTGGGCTTATACGAGTAACGATATGATTGCCGAGACCCCCAAACATATACGGGTAACGATGAAATTGTCAGGATTTCTGAGCGTAAACGAGTAGTTGTTAATTTTCATCAAAACTTCCAAGCATTATTGGCTAATCGGATATTGAATATTGGATTTTGAATAGTGGATGTTGGTTATTTGATGTTAAATTACATTTTTAGTGTGTATGTGAGTTATGATTATAATTATATTGTGCTTATGTGTTTTATTTTTATATATTTGAATATACTCACTAAGCGTGTGGTTTGTTCACCCCTCCCATCAGTTGTTTGTTTTAGGTGTACAAATTAAGAAAGCAATCCACTAAGTAGTCTAGCTTGACATCGAGGTGTTGGTGTCAGATTGTATTTTTGTTAAGAGTCATAATGTACATATGTTGTAAAGAAGTTTAAAAGGATATGACGTCCTAGTAGTGGTAATGTTATGCTATGTTATATGTTTTTATCGTGTTTCTTATTATGATGGTTGGATTTGGATACTACTCCACAAAATTAGATTATTTTGAGATTATTTATGATTTAAGGGTTGACAGGTTGAAGTTACTCACACCTTAATCTTTTCCGGGATGGAGTGTGACATACTGATAATGACATCTAACTTAAAATTAAACAGCAATGAGTGAAGATGATACTTTATATGGCAAACCAATTTTTAAAGTTGGTGAAATTTAGTAGTAGCCTAGTCGAGAAAGTGATGATTTGTAAGCTCAGACATTCTGAGTTTAAAATTTAGCAATTCTCTTGAAATCAAAGTATGAGAGATATCTCTCATGAATATCTTAATTCCCCTATTCGTATGGATAGCCTACGATTGGCTAAACTAATGAGAGAATTAATTGAAATGCACACAAACTAGTCCGAATAGTCATTATCGTAATAACCAAAAAAAAAAAAGAAATTCACTAATAGCCACCATTCAAGAACTTTGTATAGATACTGTAAGATGGGCCTTCTTGGTTCATGTGTTCCACATCCATTGTTAGTCAGTCTGACATGAAAAACCTACTAATTTTAACGGAAAAAAAAACTATTAATTGACTCATCTTTGATCACTCTTAACTGAATAATGTCGGTTTTTTAGTTGATTGAAAATATATTAATCATTATATAAGTCAACTTTAAAACTCTTAAAAATTATATTTCTACTCCAAATCACCTACCTTTGATTCAATTCATTGAATTTTTCCAGTGAACTCTTGTTGAAGAACATGTATCTTTGGCTCCTTGATCAAATTATTTCCATTGTCTATTCATTAAAGAGTATACTCTTATCAATCAACTGGTGTTTTATTTACAGAAAATACAAAGGCAATGGTCCTTAATCCTTCACAAACAATTGGTCAAGCCATCAAACTTCCAACATGCATGATTAGCATTTCATCCCCCAAAATTTCTCATATTTTTTTTTCTTTTTTAAATTATGTGGCATGGGAGCGGATAGAAAAAAAAAAAGGCAACCCAGTGTACGATTGTCCCATTAATATAGAATCTTCAGAGAATTGAACAAATGCGGCAGGGTGTGGGGGTGGAGTTACAACTGCAACCAGTTAGATAGTTGCATGTACTTTGAACAGCCCAAAGCTGCCTCCTCTATGGAAAAGGGAAACAGAACATTTGCATATGTCATTGTAAGAAAATTTTAGATGTTATTATAAGAAATGAGAATTGCTCCTCATGATCCAAAATTGAGTTTTGTAAGCATATTAGTCATTACAAGTCAGCATATGTTGTCTCTTTCATTTGTTTTCAAAAGATGGACTATTCAGAACAGTAAGTTCCAACAACTCCCTCCAAAACTATAGAGTAGGAGAAATCATCTGGTAGAGACCCATGTCCATTCCATTGTAAGCAATAGGAGCATACATCCACAGATCATCAGAGGTTAGTAACTGCAGAAATAAAAAGGACAGAATTCAGTACATAATAACCAACAAAAACAAAACCATTTTCTTTTGGGAGTTAATGAAGGATGGCTGTATATATGTGTGTGTTTGTGTGTATAATATTGCTCATACCTTAATTTGAAGCTGCAAAAACTTCACATAATGAACTGCCTCTTCAAGCATTGTGCTAATGTCAACCTGATATGAGCCACACAGAAATTAGATAAAAAGTGGAGTTTATCTTTTCAATTCAGCATAGAAGCAAATCTTAAACAATATCTGCTCTTTGAGGGAGTACACCACCATTTGATATTTACCTTTGTTCCATTTGGGACAAGGTTCTGCAGGATTCTCAATCTCTCGTTTATTCTCTCTCGTCTCTTCTGCAAAATTTGGGAAGTCATAATATGAGAATATGCTGAAATGTGGTAATATCACAATAACATGAACCAAAAATTTTGTAGTGTGCTAGATTGAGTGTGTTACCCTTGCATAGAGGCTTTGGGGGTCAGTTGCAGATCCCCTACTAGCTCTTGTCTTCCCATCCAAGTTGAGAGCTAACGAAACTTTCGACTCGGGATTTACTCCTTCATTTAGCTCCTGGGAAGCATTAGAATCATCCTCAGAGTTGTAACAACTACAGCTCTGTCCATTTGGTCCAGTATTAGTCTCTTCTTCATTATTGCCACTCAAAGTGAGCTTCTGGCTCTTCTTTGATGGTGCATTCTTCTTATTTTTCTGTGCCTGCATTTAGTAACCATAATTTATAATGAGATATCATGATTAAATAGATTTAACAACTTCAACTAGAATAATCTTGGAAGAGATAATAAACACTTAATTTCATTTGAAGAATTGCTTGTCACACTTACGTTTCTGGAAACTCCAGGTTTCTTCTTGGAATTCTGGGATTCTGGCATCTCAGATTTCCTTTTGAGCTCTGATTCCTTGCCTGAATCAGAATTTGCCTCCGGCTGACTCTGTACAGTCCCCAATTTGTCAGTACCAAACTCTTCTTTCAGGGAAAGAATGTCTTCCATGGCATCATCACGAAAAACGGGGACTAATGAGCTGGTTTGGTCGTCCAATATACAAAAATCAATAGCTTCAGGTGAGTTAGTTGTTACTGGAATAAAATTAGAATGATCACTAAGGAGTTGATTCTCATGGTTCAGAATGGGAAAGAAGGCACCATTACTGTCACAGCTATTGCTACCTTCTTGGGAAAAACAGTGAACGTTATAAGTGTTAAGAGTATCAGAAGAATAGAGTAAACTCTCATCAACCCCAATGATATTTGTATTAGTTTCATCATCAATGGGCCAAAAAGTTGTAGTAGTTCCATAGCTCAAACCATCACCATGGCCATTTGGAAATAGGTCATGGCCATGGAACTGCATCACAAAATTGGCCTCTTCGCCGGAGAACATTCTGCTCAAAGAATCCCATTCTTCATCAAGAACCACAGTTTCCATTCTATTTTCTTGTGAAAGCTTTCGAAATAAAGGGTGATCTCTATTCTCTACTGATGCTGCTATAATAGAAGCTTGGAATGAGAGAAAAAAATGGAGACATATTTATACCCAAGCATGAGAAGGAATGTTAGTAAGGATTGACTTGCTTTGTATATTGATTTCTTAATAGTTAATACCTGATCATTAATCTGGGGTAGGTCCCAATTCTCTGTAAGTAATCTCAGGAGTCCACTGTGGGGCCAACACCAGACAAAGTACAACTCAGAGTGGGACCAAGTTCATGTAATGATGGATTAAAATAACACCACCTTTCAATGGCCTTAAACCAGCTTAGACTTCCTAAAAATGGGTCTAACCGTCTTAATCCGATCATTCTGAGGAGACTAATTAAGACTAGTTTACCTGTTAAAAACAGCTTAGGTATGAGTATGGGAGTGAGAAACATGGAGTTCTAGAACTGAGAGAACGTGGGGAGTTCTGTTGAATGCTCTAAGTAAAGGGAATTCTCTTGAGGAATAAAGAGAATTAAATTAGGGGACAGCTTGATTGTGGAGATGAGCCTGACTTTCTTTATTAAACTGAAGTTCGACACAGTAACCTTGAAGCTCGGTCCTTGTCCCCTCCAATGGCCTAAACCTAATGTTTGAACTTACAATGGTATACCCTCATTAATTAGGAGGAAAACATGCAAGTAAATGTTCTAGTACAGATTACAATCAGCTATATGGATGATAATTGAGTGGAGTTACTGTTTAGCTCGAGCTTGCCTGAGATAAGAGTAAACTCCAGTTCGGCTTGTGTTTTAAATGAACTGAATTTGAACAATTTTTTATATCCGTTTAGAAAATGAGCCTAAAAAGACTCGATTCGAACTCATAAATTTTGGTTTGTTTATATGTAAAATAATTGAATTACTTGAGCTCATTTCGGGTTCAATTTATTTTAAAGCTCGGTTTATTTTTTAAACGAGTCGAACTTAAATAATTTTTTAAGTTTATTTAGAAAAAAAGAGCTTGACAAACTCGTTTAGAAAAAAAAACTTGACTGGCTCGACTCGAACCCGTAATGTTCGACTCAATTATTAGCCGAAACCACTAATCCTTCAACCCTATGACTTGAAGTCCTATTATTAGTCCTCAAGGCCATGATAGTTTAGCTAGATCTGAGAATTCTAGGAACAACCCGTGAACAAAGACAAAATCGACATAGCACTATAGACTTTGAATTTAATCTTAACACATTCGGGTGATAAATAGATTGATTCGTAAAATGTCACAATAAATGAATCAATATGAACCTGACTAACTACGATGACATAGAATAAATACTAAACTTGCACATACGATTATAAATGAGTTTGATATGAATTAATTAAATTTTAGCACACCACAAATTGCGGCACAACACAAACTTAACACAACTATTATTAGCCCTAAGTTTCTGTACCTGCTAAGTGCATCTCCAATGCTTACCTTTTTTCTTAAACTTAAATTTAAATTTGGGTAAAAAACTTGGAAAAAATCTTCTATAATACTAGACTGATACCCATATCAAATAAAGAGAGATTTATTCAAATCAAATGAGACTTAAATCAAATCTAAATCTTTAATTGTGAGATTATACATTCTTTTAAAGATTCAATAGTCATATTTTATCCTCATTTAAATTTGAGTTTTTTCTCATTTAAATTTGAATTTTTTCATTAAAGAGGTCTATACCGCATCAAATTTTTACCTTTTTTAACTGAAATTTGACTATTTGAAAAAAGATTTGAATTTTCATTGAAAATGGAATAAGTCTCAATTACCGGTCTATACGGTCCTAAACATGTATGAATCATCACCGAGTGTCATTTACTTTCTTAATTAATGGTTCTCATCATCTTTTTTATGCCTTCAACTTCAGACCACCAATTCTTCTTTTTTCTTGTAATCAAAGATTATTAATCCTGATTCCTACATAAACTATGTCATCTCTAGCCTGCAACCCGACCAAGGCATTTATCGTTACTATTAGAGTAGGCAGCACAATTGTTTTTTCCCTTGTATTCAAAACATATGCCTGTCATTTTCTAATTGAGGTGTCATAGTTCTTCTAATTACACCTCCATTCAACTTTTAGAGATTGTCAGTCCAGAAAAAACAAGTGTTCATCATTTATTCAAATGATATGTCACGAGTATAAGTCAGAGAGTAACCTCATTCAAATGAATGAAGGCTAAGATTACGTACCATTTTACCTTCTTTTAGGACAATAGATGACAATTTGATGCATGGTTCGATCTCCATTCACTTTTTTGGTCTTTTATCTCTTCCTTATTTGATGCGTAAGTTAATTAAACTATTCAGTGATTTGGCTCTTTACCAAATGTGTATAAACAGAAGAACATGAAAACCTAAGTTAAACGGTTGTTAGGTGTGTCATTATATCAATTAAAAAACGTCAAATCATTAATGTTCCGGGGGGGAAGCACAAACAGAACCCAAAATCCAGCTGTGATATCTTGGTTGGTTTTAAGATTATGATGAGATCAAGAAATAAAACCTGAGAAACCCTAGATATTCCATGAAGCCCTTGTAGTAGATTACCTGAACTTAGCCATTAACTGCCAGTTCACGCCTTAGATTCCGCCTGTTCTCCCGGTTCTCTCCTTACAGTCCTACGCGTCAGATAGAGACAGTTTTTTTTTTTTTTATATCTAGTTACACACAGACGTTTCATATGTATAAAGATTTTTATCTTCATAGAAAGTCCCATGACATGAGCTTGGTCTTCAATGGAGGTTGCACCGCCCATTGCACGATCTATGTGAGAAAAAAAAGACCAAAAACCTCTGAAAATGGAGGGAATAAAATCGAATATCTCCAAACTGTAAAGAGATTGAGCAAAAAAAATCAGATTTGTCCGCTTGGCTTGGAATTTCCTGTTGTTTATGGCCGGCTTTGCACGACTAGGGTTAGGGTTTCGTTTTTGTACCTTTTCAGGACGAACAAGAGTTCAAGGTGACAGCTAATTTTGTCCTATCAAACTGCCAACAAAGAAATTATTTTTGTCTTTGGCCACCCATCACAAACCACGTGATGGCACAATATTCAGCCACGTGTTCATTTTCTAACCGGTGACACAAATTTTTTTTTTTTTAAAATAGGGGAAATCTCACTTGTACCCTACAATATACTCTCCAAGATGAGATTTCTCGTATTACACTTTTAATGTATTAAAATTATTATAATGTGGTTCTATTGTTACCATTTACTATTTATTTTGTCAAACCCACCTACATTGAAGTTTATGGAATCAGTAATAAAAATTAATAGAAGGGTCACATTATAATATTTTTAATAAATTGAGAATACAATGTAAAAAATTTAATATTTAAAAGGTAAAAAATAATAATTTTTAAATCTTTCAATATATAAAATATAATTTGCCCAAAAATTATAATCACACTTTATTTAGACTAATAATTGATAAGTAAATAATCAACTTCATTTCAAAAATCTCGAATTATTAACTATTGAAACATTGTCGTATGAACTCCCTAGGCGATTAATCGAGCAAAATATTTTCGATCCGTGATATTAGCCTTGATTCAAACCCTCTTCCCTTAACCGAAAGTCAAATTGTAAAATGTTAATTTTGACAAGAAAAAAAATCATGAACTTGTAAGTCTAGAAAGAGTTAGGAAGAACATATTCCATAAGAAAAACATTAATTTGCCTCGTTAACTTAACTAGAATAATTTCTAATCATATATTATCCAATCAAGGTATGCAATTGAGTCCAATATTACTCAATCAAGGGATCATTCTAAAAACGTCTACTTTGAACACTTATCTTATAACAGTTTGTTGATCTTAGTTTATTAGTTAATTCACCGATGGATCTTTAATTTAATGATACTCTTTATCTTGTGAAAATTTTATGTTTTTGAGGTAAAGGGTTCAAGTTCCCTTCTTTTCTCCCCTCCAAAAAAAAAAATATATATATATATATATATATATATATATATTAGTTAATTCGATGTGTGTTAGTTGTATTGTTTTTTTGACATAATACATGGTCTGCTATATTGTTAGGGCCGAATGAAACGCGTTTTGTGATGTTTGTGATGATGAAAAGAAGATATGCCAACTTGCTTTCTTTTTTTATTTTTTGCTGAAATATAAAAGTCTTGTTACAATGTTGGAGAGACATGTTAGAGGCCAAATGGTAGATGTAAGGGATAGAAATTGCTACGGATCTCATCCCTCCACTCGAAGGATTTCGGTTGATCTGACGTGTGTCAAAGTGACCACCCAGTAGCCTTTACCCCTCTTCGCCCGTAGGAGCTTTGTTTCACATCGGAAAAGAGTCGTCTTCCCCCTCGCATATAAGCTCTTGCACTCAAAGGAGGAGGTACCCACTAGCCACTTGACCTCCTCCTTTGAATACAAGGACTTATATGCGAGGGGGAGAGATGACTCTCTTCCGATGTGGGACGAAGCTCCTGCAGGTGAAGAGGGGTAAATGCTATAAGGTGGTCGCTTTAGCACATGTCAGGTTAGCCAAAATTCTTCAAGTAGAGGGATGAGATCCGTAACGATTTTTACCTCTTACAGTAAATAATGTCAACAAAATTAATCCAATCTTATTTAAATCCAATTAACAACAAAGGTATTCTCATGATCAGAGGTGGAGCCATGAAAAAAAAGTTAGGGTGGGCATACTAACATGTTTTAATTTTTTTTTTAATAGATCGTAAAAGTTCATAAATTTATATTTAATAAAATTATATTTAATACTTTTTAAACATAGAAAATTAAAAATCGATATACATAACATGAACAAAGAAATAATAATTAAAATTTCTTATCAAGAATGCGACTAATTATTATAACTTACAATATATTTTTATTATTTGAAAGAGTTATAAATTATCAACAATATTTATTTTATATATAAAATAGCAATAACAATCTTTGATTTATAATTCTATAGTTTACTACATAGCGAAACACATTTTTATATAATAATAAAATAATCCTATAATTTTAAAAAATTATAAAATAATATCAATTTTTTAAAATATATTTAGACATGTCTAAAAGTTAATAATAATATTAGTTGCACCTAATTTGAGATTTAATTGATGGAGACCTAATCGTTTATAACCATTGGATACATAATAGAGTTTATTAAATATTACGGCTCACTATTATACGTAATACCACAATGTACTAGGTCCTCAAATTAGGTTTTAATAATATTATTCAAAAAGTTAACAATCATTTAGGTAGGAGTTTATTCAAATCGATATCACTAGAACACAATATTAGGGTGTACATAATTAATATGTCTAAATTTTATTTTACAAAATACACACCTATTATGAAACAAAAAAAAAAAATTAAGGGGGGATGTGCCCACCCTAGCCCTATGGTGGCTCCGCCCCTGCTCATGATCTATTCATAGGGTCGGCCTTACTGGTAGGATGATAAACAATTAAACTATTTGGATTTGACTCGAATTTAACTTGTTTTGAGCTTGAATAATTTTTTAGGTTTATTTAAAAAAAGAGTCATGTAAACTCGGCTTAAACTCATAAAATTTGGCTCATTTATATATAAAATAATTGAGTTACTCGAGCTCGACTCTGATCCGACTCATTTTGAGTTCAATTCAAGCTTGTTCATTATGGCTCGTATTTGAACGAAACTCGTTTGTTAAAAAAATATAATTCATATTTTATCGTTATATTTATATATTAAATTAATAAATGCATAATATGTAATTAATAAATATAATGTGAAAAAATCAAATAATATATAGACAACTAACATACATTTCAACACACATAATTAACTTTTCATTCACTTTTCTTTCCAATTTTAAAAAGATTGATTTTTGAGTTAAAAAGAAAGTTAATTTATCTACTTTTTTATCTTTCCTATTTTTCTTCCTTATCAAATATGATAATATTTTATCTGTCCCTCCAACTTTTCATCTTTTCGATTTTTCATCCTTCCACTTTTCTATAGTATCAAACGAAACATTAATCCAACTTCTTAAATTAATAGAAGTATATATTTTCAAAACATTTGGCGGGTCATTTGGCTCGGACCCAATTCAATGTGCAAATTCTATTAACTTTACTTTTTCTATAAATTTCTTCTTTTTTTATTTTATAAATTTCCAAATAACCATTTGGTAAGTCTTCTTAATTCCCTTTGTTCAATATTTCACTAGGTAGAATTCAGATAGTTCGGCTGGGTTGAGAGATCACTCAAATTTAATCTCGGTTATATATTTATCAACTCATACTCAATAGAATTAACATTCAACCCAAGTACTATTTGTGTTTAAATTTTTGAATTCAAGAACTCGAATTAAAATTTGAGTTCAATTGTCATCTTTAAATTCACAAACTGAATTACACAAACTGTCTAGAATTACATTAACTGAATTATCACCAGCTCCCATTACGTTGGTGCATTCATTGACCAACACTTACAACAAAGATGAGGTTTCATGAAACATGTAGGTTGGTCATCCCTTGGGCTAAAATTTCTATGAAAATCAAACATCGCACCCGCATCTACCTATCCAACCGAAAGAACTTATTGGAGAATATTTCAATCAACCAATCCGAGCCAACAGGATACCTGTGTTGGAAAAGTTTATCCAGCTTTACGATAATTTTAGCAAATTACAATTCAAATTGAAACATCCAGTTCCATGACAGCATCCGAGATCAAGTAGAGCTTACAAGAACAAAAAACGGCTTGTCTCCTAACTGGTCCCGACCCTGAATCGAAGCAAAATGCAATACAGCCAGGGTTAATACTATGTTCACAGGGTATGAATATACTTAGGAGGGAAGAGGCATAACATACAGAGCTAGAAGCAAGAAGATCAACAAAAGTCTAAGCAGCTACATAGCTCTAGACATTGACATTACTTTCCTTTCTAGTCCCCCAGACCCAACCCCGGCAGTGGAAAGGTACCACCAATGGACCCTCTTTCCAATGGGGACTTGGACTCCAAACCTCCCCCTTTTGGAATGGTAAATCATAAAACCCCAGCTAGCAGCCGGTCATCTAGAAAGTAAGTAGTGAGGATACTTAAAAACATTCTTTAGATAACATACCTTCAGTTCTGGCAGTTCAATAACACAAGCACACTCAACCACATGCACCCCCACCCGCTCTGCAATGAAATTTAACACGACAAAAACAATAACAGACTTTAACCACACTAGCATAGGAGGCTAATATTTTCACAGGAATAAAGACATACAATCAAACATGTTTTCTTGAGGAAACCTACTGCTGTATGTGCACAAGATGCAGACTAAATAAAATTTGATACTTTGGAACTCTTATCTCTTCAAAAGCCATATCTCTCATTACCATAAGTTAAGCATACAAGTGACAAGGAGAACAAAAGACAAGCCATCCCTTATCTTTGGTTTTTTTAACTAATCTATTACTCTTTACATTTATTCATGTCATGGTTTTAATCCTATGTTCCGTAACCTTTCCCTTTGGGTAGGGAATCCCCATCAACTAAATGGCCTGATAATAGGCTCTTTTGGTCTATAAATTTGATGGGTGTCCCCATCCCCATCCACCGGACAACCCATAAGGGTGCTTTTCAACATTCATGTATAAACTTGAGAAAATATTACACACTAGAACATTACCAAGTAGCCTAATAGCAGCACACAAGGTCCCTCCAGTTGCGATGAGATCATCCACTACAAGTGCACGTTCTCCTTCTTGTACAGCTCCTACATGCATCTCCATTTTGTCTGTTCCATACTCCAAAGAATACTCTTGGGTAATTACCTTGCCTGACAAACGATCAAATCACAAGTCTGTGTAACTTGAATGATTGTATGTATAACCTCTGCAAAATATCTAGTTGTAAATAGTCTTAGTCAATTAATGTCATAGAATAGGCTTACATTTGATAGAAAGTCAGAAGCTCCAATAGTAAAAGTAGTGCACTAACTAAAGATCAAAAGATGTTAGGAACTTGCAATAGATTGCAACATCATACAAAGGTTTTAACGAGACTAGCCAGTAGAATCATATATTTCTATCAGAGACTTCTAAGTAAATCCCACCATCATCGGGGTTTTGGGGAGTATTAAGGATTGGGGGAGAGTTAATTCCCATTATGTAGCCCAACAACTGCAACCCACCCCAACACACAGAGAAGTATGCAGAGTACATGTCCAAACGGAGTGGAGTACCAATGCAACATATAATGATAAAAAACGATCACTTACAGATGGCACTCTGTCACTGTATTGACTCACCAGTGGAATTTTTCAGGTACTGTACGTCACTGATGGTGACTCGTCACTCATCATCACATTGCTTGAGACATGAATAATTTGAATTTGCATGAAATCCTTTCAAAACCACCGCAACTAAGTTTAATGAGCTGAATTTTGTGGGTATATGTCTGTAATGTGAAGTGTGGTTGAGAGAGAGAGAGAGAGAGACAGACAGACAGAATTATGATCATGAATTGCATTGCTGCACATACTTGTGGAAGATTCTCAGTTATCCATGAAGAGAAGCACACAGTTTATAAATGCAGAGTAAAAGGACACAAAAAGATATACCAGGCAACTTCTTGGGTTTTCTCATGGGGACAAATTTTGCCCCGATAGCCAATGCAATGGGAGGGCCAAATATGAAACCTCTTGCTTCAATACCTGCATTATGTCAACATCAGAGATGTCATATGGTCACTGTTTTTTTCTGTAGATAGTTAGGTTTGTCACAACACTGAATTTTGTTGGACTTGGGCAGTCAACAAACCGTTGGCCGTTGTAAGTCTCTGCAGAGAAAGCTCCTCCACATAAACTAAATTTTTTTGGTTCCTTCCTTTGATTCAGCAGGCGAAAATATAATCAAGATCACATGAAGAACAGGTCCTCATGTTTATGCTAAATGTGCTTTAATCCTCTATTCAGTCACCCAACCAAGTCATTTTGAAATGAATTTGCATACGGCCATATTGGTATTAGAGAGATTATCTCTTATATGGTCCATCGAAACGGCCAAGTCCCAATATCATTTGACGTTACAAATAATCCACAAGTCTCACTCGCCTCATGGTTGACTCAAAGACTCAGTCAACTGGAACGAATCATCCACGTCATCATCATTGACTCACAACATACAGCGTATAGCCTGATATCATTCTGTAACACCACGATATGGCACAAATCTATTGCCTTATCAAACATTTTTTCTATATGCATTTCATGTTTTTCGGTTAATATCATTCTGCGATGCTAAATTTGATGCGTCTCAGGCCCTCGTAAGATCAATACAACATGGCATATAGGAGGAGACAATGTCAACTTTTCCTTATATGTTTGGGTCACCTAGAAGTGTGTTTGCATGGCGTCTGGGTTTTCCAAGTCACAAAAATGAAAAAATCTACAACTTTTTAGGACGACACTCTTCAGTCTTCGTTATGATATTTGTTCTGGCATTAACTAACACATCAAAGATACTCTTCACAGAGAGCATATTACTTCAACATTTTGGTCAAAGTCGATTGTAATCAACTGAATGTTGTTTTAGAAACAATTGTTTAGAAACTTCAAGCTACACACCAAAATTTTTGGGTCAGGACTTGGGAGAAAAACTACACTATCATTTATTGGAAAATACTATCCAAAACCTCCCAACCTCTTCATTCAGAGGATATTGCTAGTAATAAAGTTTTCAAACAATACAAGATCATCACACCAAAAGGGCGCAATGCTTTATGTAGGCAATTTGGGATTCTCCAATAGACAATGCAACAGCTCCTTTTGGCCATAGTGTTTAGGGCGATACATAAATAAACAGGGTAATGACTTTTTTGTCCCCTGACAGGTATAACAGAGGCCTTAACAATGAAACCATAAAATTAATACCTCAAATTTGCTTTGTCTATCAGAGAAGGACAGAACAACTTATCAAAATCGACACTAATTAGCCCAATTGCAAACATTTTTCCACATTTTTTTTGTCAATTATGGGAACTGAAGTTGGATTAGCTTTAGGGGGATATCACATAGTATGGAAACGCTGATCAATCCCCACATATTACTTGGTCATTGGTAATTAGTGAGAAATGGACGGCCTTGGATTCTGCATCAATCCTATCAACTATCAAACAATCAAAACAATCTGTGAAAATTTAGGGAGGATCATCGAAGTTATGATTTTAGACCTCAGAAGCTTCTGTTCACAGCAGTCTTTTATATTTAGCAGAATCTTGGGCATTCGTTTGGCACAAATCACTGTAAGATTTTTGCACAAATTATGCTCGACATTAGCATTCCCACAACACATATTGAAAAGACTGAAACAAAGTCTCTACAAGTCTACATCACTCCTAATGATTTTTGAGTTCTGAGACCTAATGGGTCTTGTGGGGGGTGTGTGTCTATTCACCATGACCAAATAGAATGTACCAAACCAAACCAAACCTTATGTCCCAATTATTTGGGGTCGGCTTTATAAATTCGTTTTCGCTATTCATTTCGGTCGTGGGCTATACGCTCATTTAAGTTAAATATTTTAATATCTTTTTTTATTATTTCATTCAATGTTAATTTAGGTCTATCCTATTCTTAGTACTTTTCAGAGAAATTATATCACTTGTTTTAACCGGTGCCTCTATCGGCCTCCTTTGAATGTGACCAAACCATCTTAATCTATTCTCTTTCAACTTATCTTCAATCGAAACTACTCTTATTATTTCTCTAATACAGTCATTTAATATTCTATCATTTCTAGTTTTTCCACACATCCAGATTAACATTTTCATTTCTGCAACACTCATTTTGTCACTATGTTGTTTTCTAATTGCCCAACATTCTGTCTCATACAATATTGTTGTCCTTATAGTTGTTTGGTAAAATTTGTCTTTCAATTGTTATCCTTCTATCACATCACATGCCAGAGGTTTTCCTCCACTTAAGTCAACCAGTGTTCATTCTATGAGTTACATCATCTCTAATCTCTCGTTTATTTTTAATGATTAATCCTAGATAACTAAATCGTTTACTCATTAGTATTTTTTAATTTTCAATCTTAACTTTCAAAATGTTTACTTTTTCTATTACTAAAAATTTGGGGAGAGACTCGAATCAAAAGGTTTAAAATTTTCAATCTTAACTTTTTCATGATGTCAACTTTTTCTATTACTAAAATTTCATTGTATATATTCAGTCTTATTTTAAACCCTATTGACTCAAGTCTCTCCCAAATTTTTAGCTTATTGTTAAATCAAATAGCATGTATACTTACCAAATTCAGAAGTTCTTACAATCTTCCTGTTTGCAATAGAAACTGCAAATTCGGAAATTGACCTTTTTGATGCTTTCTCTTTCTATTACAATTTTATTATGGCCAAATGACAAAAGTTCATAAGTTATCCACGAAGAGAGAGAGAGAGAGATTACCTGCAACAACATTGATATCTCTGTCTTTATACCTCTCAACAAACAATTCAATGGTGTCCTTGAAAGCCTTGGGATCAAGAAGCAACGTCGTTATATCCTGAAACATAATCACTGCACAAAACCCATCGCACATCAATTCAACACATCCTCCGCATACTCTCTCTCTCTCTCTCTCTCTCTCTCTCTCATGTATCAGAGGTCAAGCGTACCGGGTTTAGGGAAGTCTTGGATGACTCGAATGGCAGATGAAATTCGAGCGACACGATCATCGTTGCCGTCTTTATCAGCAGTAGTGGCCATGTCTCGTGAGCTCACTTGATCTGTCTCTCTCTGCCGTCGGAGTCTGGCCCCGTCGACGAGCAGATTCGTCGGAGTTCAAACAGAAGCGTCCGTTAATTTACTGTGACGGAATTGCCACTCGTTGTAAATCTTTGGTTTTCTCCTATGACCGAATTAGTCTTGAAGACTTAAACGGCGAGGTGTGCTCATTGTCATTGCTTAAAGCAATTCCAACTCAACCAGCAAAATGTCCGGCACAGACATTTATCTCAGCAAAACGGCGAGGTGTGCTATTTGGTTTAAATTCATTTATCTTCATTTTATATTTATGATTTAATTTTAAATATAAATACAAATATATTTTTTATTTTTTATTTTTTATCATTCTGTGTCTTCACGGACAATAACTAGTACTCTTTATTTAAACTAATTATTTTAAATAAATTTAATTAATTTTTAATAATATAATTTAAAAGTACCATGTAACCTAACATGTCAACGGTTGATGTGTCATGTCATCAAAATTATAAATTATAAATTTTATAATGGTTATATTTTTAACGGTCACAATTTTAAAAATATATAAATAAGAAATTTCTCATGTATCATAATCAACCCAACCAAAATTATATCACAACAATAATTTTAATCAAACCTCAAATAATACAAGTTAATAACATTTTAAAACTCATCCACTTCAAATAACACAAATCAATTACATGATACATGTCTCATAAACCTAAATTTTTTACACATACTTGCATTAATATTTTCATAGGGTCTAAAATTAAATATTTCATTATACAACGAGGTTTGTAAAATTTTTGGGATGGGGTTTTCAAAATTTGTGATTTTTCAGAATGGGGGGAGGGGATTTTTAGAATGAGTTTCAGGAGAGAGAGGGGAGGTAGGGTGTAGAATGGTTGGGGGGCGGAGACTGGATTTCGAAATTAGAAGAGGGGATCTGTAGCTTGGGGGTTGGAGATGAAGAAGATGAAAAAAATTACTCAGGACCAACCATTAAAGAAGACGATAAAGAAAGTGGTGAGCAATTTGGCGAGCTTCTTCTCCTCTCCAGATCTGACAAGCAATAAGGATTTCCTAAATTTTAGCTAGCAAGATGGTGAGCCATTTGAAGCAATTTTTTTAAGCATGCCACGCCAAATAAGCTAAAAAAAAGATTTAACTAGTGGGTTGCAGATACTCTTAATTGAGTAGGAAACTCTCATGGAGGGTACTTTCATCCATTTTTCAAAATTCCGTTTTGGTCTATACTTATAAAGAAAACATTTTGATAATATTTTGAAGAATTTTTTACACTATACGCTCCAAAAAATTTTAATTTTTTTTTATTTTTGTACATTTAAAGATTAAATTTTTTATACTATACCTCAATATTTTAAAAGTATTATAATGTGACCATTCTGTTAATTTTTGTTATTTTTTTTTTGGTCAAACATCAACCCATTGACATTGATGAAAAAACTAATTGAGAACTAACAGAATGTCACGTTATAATATTTTTAATATATTGAGGGTACAATATAAAAAATTTAATCCTTAATAATATAAAATAAAAATTTTGAATTTTCAGGGTACAAAGTGCAACTCGTCTTATTTTGAAAGCATGGTAGAAAAAAAAAATTTGAAAATTTATTTTCGTAATATTGATCAAAATATACCAAAATATTAATCAAAATATATTAAAATACATTTACACACAATAAAATACTAAATTTTGGTATTCTATCAATAAATTATTTTCAATTTTCATGAAAACGAGAAGGTTTCGAGCGTTTTGATGGTTTAGAATCAAAATTATGTTCATTGGAGAAGATCTTTGTGGATGTCATAGTGTGGAAGTAAATATGTCTGGTGATGGTAATTTCGGCACATGTTATTATGATTATGTTTGACATAACTTTGCAAACTAATTGTATTTGTTATTACTGTTGTCTTTGATGTTAAAACCATCTTTATACATTGGCAATGAATTTCATGTTAATTTTCTTGAAGTTAGGATTTTATTTATTTGTAGATAAATTAGGATGGACCTCCTTTACACCTCAATCTCAAGAAGGCTAATCATCCTCATGCATGAAAGAGAATAACAATGGTTAATTCTTCCTTATTAAACATTTGTAACTAACTACTAAAAAGAAATGGATTGACCGATATATCTCTAACTTGTGTTTCAATGACAAATAAGACAATCAAGCTATTAAATGCTTGTCTAATCTGATCATTTAGCCATTGTTTTCTAAAAGACGAGAATATAAATAGAAAATATCGCTCGAGAAAACCTTACAATAATAAAATTATCGTATGAATTGTGGGGCTTGGGTTTTCATTAAAAAAAAAATCTAAAAATTAGAGGATTTTTTTTTTAAATTCTTATGGAACACTAAGAATTTGTCCATGTCTAAAAATTTTACTTATTCAATAAACATTTTGAATTATGTAAATTCAAAACTATGCACGGTAATTTTCGCACGATAAATAAAAATACAACTCTCTCTCTCAGTGAACTCGTATTTACCTTAAAAATCAACGATCCCATGACAAAGGGAGGCTACAGAGGGCCTAAGGAGTGGGTGATGAATTGGTTTTTCAGTTGTCCGATCAATTCTGACGAGTCGAGGGTGCTTCCTAGCATTCAAAAAAGGATTAAAAGGACGTCAGAGTGTTTTTTGGCGTATTTCATTCAACGGTTAAGTCAATTTGTGAGAGAGGGAAAAGAGGAAGCATTGTTCTTGTGTTCTGGGGTCAGATTGCATACATTTGCCTCATATTTGTGAGTGCTATTTTATACCTTCTATGAAGGTCATCATTGCTACAAGTGAGTCTCTCTAAAAAGAGATCTCCATTGACTCATCTGGGAGGCAACAAGTGGGGTGACCAGTCTGTGGGCAGAACACCTTCTGCCTCATGTGGGAGGTCAACTCATCATTAAGTGCTCGGGGGGCCCGAGCATTTAATGCTCTTTCTCCAAGGTCCTCTGATTAATAAATACATTCCATCTTTTTGAGGAATCATTAAATGTCCTTCTAGAATAGCTATGCGCCAATAGGGACATCTATGTCCATTGGCCTTCAATTCTGCCACTGGTGCCACACGTTCACTTCCCTCTGGTTATTGGTTATATCTTTTCTGTCGTTCCTGACTTTACTGGGAAGGCAAGGCAATGATTTACTGTCAAACTCTAAGATTAATGGGCTGCAACTGTCAATAATCCATCCTAGGTCAAGGTGACGTGACCAAAACAGAACCTGAGAGCACATATATTGAAGACACGTACCAGAGGCTAATAGGCAGAGGATGTCGGTGCCGAGAGCACGTGTTCTCCTTGGAATACTGTGGTGTCTTCGGTGCTGAGAACATGTGTCATCATCATAAATGTCACAGGGTAACTTTCGTTTTTCTTTTGAAGCTACCTATGAAGGCGTTGTTATTGCAACCAGTCACAGTCAACTCAAGAATAAGGGACAGAAACTCACACAGAAGGCACACATGAATTTACTGGGACAACACTCCCAAACCTTATATATTGAACTCAACAATTTACAAGGACTCTCAAAAGCCAAAACACTCTCTGTTTTCCAGAATGCTCAAACACCCCTATTTATACAAGAGGAAGGCAGATGACACCCCCATCTGCCAAGGGGTAGTTACCCACGTTTTTGCTATTTCATAGCATACTGGACTAGCAGACTTGGTCTCTGTGCAACACCTGGCAGACAGTTCCACCACTTCCAGTAACTGCTATGGAACTGCCCTTCATCAGCATGCATCTAGACTGGATTCAGACTGGGGACGTCCAGAACTGCCTCAGCAACTGCCTTGATTGAGTCTCAGCATCATAACCACCCACATCCTCTTGGTCACATGCATTGAGCAGCCATGTGCCAGTCAGGTGCCCACATTCAGCAGCCATGTGCCCACATTCAACAGTCAACCTTGCTACACGAACCAATGTGTATGCTGGGTTCAACCCATGCCACGCAATCCGAAGCTCTGCACCCACATTGTTTCAATTGAGCCCACCCATATTGTCATGCTCAACCGGATGGTCTCATGCTGTCTTGGTTCGCCCCAATCTGTCAAACCACTTAGCCACGTCACCTTGATTCCAATTTCTGGCATGCCTTGGTGCAAGGTGCCACCAAGATCGGTCATTTGCACTTAAGTCAATTAGGGTGTGACAAGCCACCCCCACCTGAAGTATCCAATGACCTCGTTGGAATGGAGGCATGGTATTACTTGATGAGATCTTCGAACTGCCACAATGTCGTCTCTTTCTCCCAAGTGGCTACCTCTGGTGCTTTCCCTTTCCACTTGACTACGTAATGAGTTCTTCTATTTTTCTTACTCATTCCCTCAATCTTGTGGTCAAGGATAGTTTCAGCTATTTCTGTGAATTGCTTCCTGATTGTTGGAGGAGCCCGACGCCGAACGTATCTGTTAGGGTCCTCCAGGTCCTCAACATACAGCTTTAAGAAAGCAACATGGAAAACTGGATACAGCTTGAGACGACTGGGAAGATCCAACCTATATGTCAACCTGTCAATCCTCATTGTTATTAGGAAAGGGTCGTCATTCGCTGGATTAATCCCTTGTGTGTAGACTTCCGAGAGATCTTATTCCAGATTGGTGGGGTCAATTTCAGCATCACTTTGTCACCCACTTCGAACTCTACTGCCCTCCTCTTCCAGTCTGCCCACTTTTTCATCCTCTTCACCGTCTTAGTTAAACAGTCTTTTGCTTCGTCAGTCCACTCCTGATTGGCCCGAGCGAAGCGATATGCTGCAGGACATCTCCCTTGAGACTTTTTCTTGACAACTTCATGCGGGATAAGAGGTTGTTGGCCAATTGCCAACTCAAAGAGGCTCATTCCAGTGAAAGAACTCTGTTGGAGGTTATAACTAAATTAGGCTACATCAAGTAAATCCACCCAATTGTCCTGGTTCGCTGTGACATAATGTCTAAGATATTCCTCTAGCATTGCATTGACCTGCTTGGTCTGCTCATCTGTCTGCGGATGATTGCTGGTGGAAAGGTTGAGTTGTGTGCTCAACAGTTGAAAAAAAGTTGTCCAGAATCGGCCAGTAAACCGAGTGTCCCTGTCACTCACTATGTCCAGCGGAAGACCCCAAAGCTTCACAATATGCNTAAAGCTGTCCAGAATCGGCCAGTAAACCGAGTGTCCCTGTCGCTCACTATGTCCAACGGAAGACCCCAAAGCTTCACAATATGCTTGAGGAATAAC